GAATTTAGGTAAATCAAATCCGCTAGGGAACCCGCAAATATTACCTTTTAATTTGTTTTTTTGGTATTGACCGTATTAAATTAATAATTTTTATAATGAAAAGGCCTAAATACGGTTTTCAGATATACATATATTTTTTACAGTTCCCAACTTGTTTCGAACATTATAGTTCCTCTTCAGGGGATAAATTATAATTTGAAAATCATACAAACATTGTCCGTTGATTGGATACAGACTACAAGAAGATTTCAAGAAGGATAAAAACTTTATTTTAATTATCTGAAAAAATATCAGAAAGTTATGTTTTGAGGGTTAGTTTTGTATCAATTAGTTTTGAAGAATAAAGAAAATTTCTTACCATTTCTAAATTAAAAGCATATATTAATTAAAAATTGTTAAATTTTTTGAGTGTTTTAAAATTTCCTGAAATGTATATCGAGATTATAACCTAATTAATATTATTTGTAAGTTTCATGCGAATCCGTTAAACTGTATAGACTCCAGGCGTGGCTAAAAATCAAAAAATCATAAATTTTTCAGTTTTTTGAGCCTAATTTTCATAATTTTTTGGGATTTCTCTCATTTTTACCACAGAAATTATTTTTTTTACATTTTTTACCCGGAAAAAAAGGTTTGAACAAAATCGGTAAAGAACTTTTCGAGATATCCAATTTTGGTAGAAAAATGACAATATTTTGAGAAAATATATTCGCGGAAAATTTCTTTTTTTTTATTTGGCGTCGATTCTCTACCGCGAATCTTGATTATTATCTCATCATGTTGGAATTTAATAAGTAATTTTTCGGTATATAAGCAGTATTGTATATGGGGTTTTTAATCAGTCATGAATTAAATTGTGCAAACGATTCAAATGCCAAGCAGTGTAAAGAGAGAAGAGCTGCAGTTTCGAATAAACAGTCTTTTAAAGAAAATTCAAGAAATAAATCACAGCATTGAAAATGTGCAAATTTCTCTCTTTACACTGTTTGGCATTTGAATCGTTTGCAAAATTAAATTCAAGACTGATTAAATACCCCATGGACAATACTGCTTATGCACCGAAAAATTACTCATAAAATTCCAACATGATGATATAATAATTATTATTAACCAAAAACGATTCCCATATTAATAGTCATAAATTATAAAAAACATATGGTTTGTAAAGTTTTGTTCACGTTCGATAGTATGGTTTTGTATGTAATTTTATTTTTTACAAATTTTTAGAGAAGCATTGTAACAGAAATGGAAAAATACAATCAGTCCTTTCTAGGACTTTATATAGATTTTGATAGGTTTTTAATCTACATCTGCGTAATAAAAATGATAAATCCTAAAAATATTATGCATTTATTACAAGAACGTTTTGATGGTAATCTACCTGACTTTGAGTCTATTATAACTGATGAAGAAAAAATCTTTGCAGAACAATTAGACAATGTTCTAAGAGATACAGCAAACGCTACACTGCGTTTTGAAACTTCTACAACATTGTCTTACGAAGACGAGAGCATGATACCTGATGCAAAGACAGTTGATGAAGACTTTGAAAATGACTTGGAGGTAATTGTCAATGAGAATAATAAAAAACTAAAGGTAAGTATAGATTTTGAATATAAACAAAGAGCTGTTTAGTACTGGAATCCTGTTAAACAGGGAAAAATGAAATTAAAAACTGTTCAAAATCAATTTAAAAAACTAAAACAAATTTCAATGCTTTATAGATGGGAAAAGGAAGTTAAAGAAGGTGGCAACCGAATCATCAAAATGTCAAAAATATGCGATTACGTCCTGAATGAGTTTCAAAAGGCTCATGAAAAATCATTGCCAATTCATGATGCAGACATTAGAAGATGGGCTTTAAAAGCAAGGTCAGAATTTAATTTATCAAGTAAACTGTTCACAGCTTCCACAAAATGGATTTACAATTTTAAAACAACGCACAAAATTGTGTGGCGAAAAATAAATAAATTCGTTACTACAAAACAGTTGACAAATATTGACGAATTGAAGAAGTAAGCAGATCAATTTGTTAGCAGTGTAAAACAAGAAATTTTGTTAGCTGGAACTGATAATGTTTTTAATTCAAACCAATCTGGTTTCAATTTAGAAACACACAGTGGGAGAACATTATCTTTTAAAGGAGATGTTAAGATTGAATGCATTGCACAATCTTTAAATTCTCTAACTCACAGTTACACCATTCAACCTACTGTCACAGCTAGTGGATGGCTGAAAAGCCCTTTATTTATTGTTTTACAAGAAAAAGGTGGAGACTTCAGACCTCTGGTTAAAAAAAATCTATCTATCTAACATCCCAACTATCAGGTCAATGGTTTAAAGAAGTTTACTTACCCGCTGCTGATGAAAAATCAGTACTTTTATTATATTCATGGACGGGACAAATAAAAAAAAATTTGGAAAAAGTGAATACAAATGGTAAAGAAGTGGAAATATCCACAATACCTGCAGGAACAACAGGTCAAATACAACCCCTCGATGTTTATGGATTTAGACCTTGGAAAAACTTTGTTAAGCATTTCTCCGACTCCGTAATACTGTTTGACTATGACGTTAATCTGAATTTAAGAAATAATATCTTAAAATTGCAGTCCCTAACACATATCAGTTCTCATCACCAAGATTTATTGATCTTTTTAAATATGCTTGGTATAAAAGTGGTTATACTGATGTAAGACCGCCTAAATGTGAGACACCAGTCTCTTTTTGCTTTAAAAGCTCTGAAACTGTTTGTCATTATTGTGATAACATTTCGTTTTTTAGATGTGCATGGTGTACGAAATTCATGTGCTTCAAAGACTATTTCGATCCAAAGTACGAAAGTTCTCCTCATTATTGTCAAAATTATAAGCAGTGATTTAAGAATCAAAAGTCTCTCTACAAATTAATTGTAATGTCATACATAAATTAATTTCATAAAAATAAAAAGAACAAACAAAATTTTTAAATTAAAAAAACTAAAAAAAGTAAAAAAAACAAAAAACAATTTTTTAAATTAAAAAAAAAATAAAAAAAGGGAATATACACTCGCCACCTCCAAGTTGGTTATTCCTGGGTTCGGCAGAGAGCGAGAAAATTTAAACATACACGTGAATTTAAAAAAAAATCATGCGCCATATTGGATCCGCCATTCTGAATTGTGCAAATCGGACTTCATATTCGTTTTCAGCAACCCCGAAAACCCCCGAGTAACGAGTTTCAAGCGAATCGACTGAATTTAAAAAAATTTATCTAAATTAAAACTTTACACACATTTGAGGGTTTTTTTTATTTTTAACCCCCATTTTCAACCCATAAAATTGCATGTCTGCCAAAATAAAAAAATACGTATCAAATATTTTTCGATTCTCTACAAAATGGTCCAAAGCAAAAGTCGATCCCAGTTTTACACTTGGGTAGTGTTACTTGTGAGTGTACCACATGCAAAAATTTAGGGCCCTTTACCTATTTAAAAAAACCCTTGGTACTGCTAGCTTGACGTCAAGCTGGAAGTACCACACTACAGAACCTAAATATTTTTCAAAATTTCTTCCATAGGAATTTAGGGCTCATTTAGGGCTTTCAACTGGGACTATTTAAAATTTAGAAATCCACCCCTAAACACAAAAAAAATCCCCAATTATTTTAACTCGATTTAATCAAACAATAATCATATAGGAATTAAGAGCTAAATTAGGGTTCTTCAATATGTAGCACAAAATTGACTTTTTAAAAATGCACCCCCAACCACCCCAGCCAAGTAACTGATAGATAGTCAACCACAAAATTTACCCTCCATTAGGTAAAACTCAATATTTTCAAACACATACGCATTTAAGGCTAATTTAGGGCTCTAAAAAATAATTAAATTGGTTATTCAAAAATGATACACCAACTTCCAAAACTACCGTGGAGTAGTTCAAACTTAATTTTTTCAAAAAACAAATATTTAGGAATTTAGTGCTAATTTAGGGCTCTTAAATATAACTACATTGGGTGTTCAAAAATGATGCACCAACTTCAAAAAATTACCGCGGAGTAGTTCAAAATTAATTTTTTTAAGAAACAAATACTTAAGAATTTAGGGCTTATTTAGGGCCCATAAGTGGAACTACATTGGGTGTTCAAAAATGAAGCAAACTTCCAAAACTACCGCGGAGTAGTTCAAACTTAATTTTTTTAAGGAATAATTTTAAAACTAGAAGATAATTTTTGAACAATTTTATTCAGTGCTATTTAAGAGCCCTAAATTCCTAAGTATTTGTTTCTTCAAAAAATTGAGTTTGAACTACTCCGCGGAAGTTGGTGTATCATTTTTGAATAACCAATTTAATTATTTTTTAGAGCCCTAAATTAGCTTTAAATGCGTATGTGTTTGTTTTTGAAAATATTGAGTTTTAACTATCTATCAGTTACTTGGCTGGGGTGGTTGGGGGTGCACTTTTAAAAAGTTAATTTACTGCTATTGAAGAACCCTCAATTAGCTCTTAATTCCTATATGACATATGAGTCTAAAACAATTCTTATATTATGTGAGATAAATTTCGGTGCGTAAAGTAAATTTCAGTGCGTAAAGTGAATCACTTTACACACCGTTTTAAAAAGAGCTTCTTTACACACACTTTTCGGTGTGTAAAATTTAACTTTTGAGTTTAGTGTTGCAAAAAATATTTAGGTTCTATAGTGTGGTACTTCCAGCTTGACGTCAAGCTATCAGTACCAAGGGTTATTTTAAATAGGTAAAGGACCCTAAATTTTTGCATGTGGTACTAAATTAGCCCTAATTGAGCCCTAAATGTTGGCATATATAAAAACTTTTTTTGTGGAAGTGGTACTTCCAGGATTACCGACCTAGAATATTCATTTGTTTGAATTTGTTTGAATCTCAGATAAGTTTGATTGATTAAAAATTTATTTAACAATTTCATTATAGTGCCTTTTTTCGAACACCATCACGTACCATTTAAATATTAAATATAAAAAAATAAATAAACACTTACCTAATTTATTGTTTTTTAAACATTCTCGTATATCAACTCCAAAATTTTGAATACTCTCTTTAATAGTAATATCTAATTTATAAATGTAAACACCAAGTTCAAGCAATTCGTTTACATTGGGTCCATCAATATCAAGAACACTTGCAATAACAGCAAATCCAAGAGAACGACAATAAACTGCCAGACTATATCCTAATCCAGAGTCACATCCAATTATAACAACAGCCATATTAAGTTGAACCACATTTTTTTCATATATTTTTTGATAAAAAATGGCTGCTCCTATAAGTAAAATATTTTTTGTTCGATTAATAAAAAATTGTGATAATCCTCGTGAACGTCCATAGCTTAAAGCATGGATCAATTGAGGGTCCTGATCAAAGAACCGATTATAATTTTCTGACGCTTGAATTAGTAGGCCCCTGAGTAGTAAAAATGATTTGTTTCAATTTTAGTTTTTTGTAAACATATTCCGATAGAGAATTTTATTGCTCATTTTCTTCTCTTTGACAAAAATTCCCATACATTATAGTTTTTGTAATATTCTTAAAAAACTGTTTTTTTTAAACTAAAAATTTAATGATTTTTTTTACTTCAACTCGCGATAAATAAGACAATTTTTGATATTTTTTAATCAAACTAACATGAAAATACGTATTATTTTATTGTACGATTGATAGTGTAAACAAAAATTAATTTTAATAATAAACAAAAAAGTTAACAATTTTTTTCTGAACAAATGCAAAATTTGTGGGTTTTTTTCACCGACAATAAACTTACTGTGAGAAAGTTGTTAATTAGGACCTAAGTCGCTAGCGGACGACCGTCGGACCGTTTCGCTCGCATGACGTAAGAGTGAGGTTAAGTCACTCGTTACAGTTTCACAGACTGTAAAAAATCTTTTTGGAAATTGTACATTCACAATTTGTATTTGTGTTAAAATTTGTAAAATTACTATATTCAATAAGGTTATGTTACTACATTAAAAGAAGCACTTTTACAATTTTCTGTAAATTTACTACTTTCAAAGTGGGTAATAGGTGAAACATAATTAGTTGTTGCATCCGTCACCTATTACCCACTTTGAAAGTAGTAAATTTACAGAAAATTGTAAAAGTGCTTCTTTTAATGTAGTAACATAACCTTATTGAGTATAGTAATTTTACAAATTTTAACACAAATACAAATTGTGAATGTACAATCTCCAAAAAGATTTTTTATAGTGCAGGTAAGAAAAACCCATGGAGTGGTATAAGGAGACCGAACGACGTACATTGAAAGTGGGCCAAATTTTGGTAACCGCTTAGTGTCATGAAAATACGTAATGGAACACAAGCGCTCTCGTGGGAAGTATGTAAACAGTGGGAAAAATTAGAACCCTACCGAAAGAGTGGTACTGGAATGGTACTGAATTAGACTTGGCTTGAGTTCCACTTCAGTACCACTACCTGATAACCCATAAGAAGACATTTTTAAAGTACTTTAACAATAGTTTTAAAGGTATATAAGATCAACAAACTGTCTCTTACGATATACGTGTAAAACAGCAAAAAAAACATAATAGTTTGTAGAAAATTTCTGTTAAGTTTGGAAATTATATTGCAATCCCTCCTTGAACAATAGATCCCTAGGTCCTCTGTTGAAGGATTAAAATTTTAACCCGAGTTTTATTGCTTAAAAAATTTGTAATTTTAATAACTCAACTTTAAAAAATATATATTGAGATTCGTTAATATTTCCAGATTATGAATATCTAAAATTTATCAAAAAATAATTACATTTAAAAAAGTTATAATTTATCTCGTATACCTTAAGTTTGATAAAATAATGGACATCATTATTGAATTTAGCTGATAAAGGAAATATCATATGCATAATAATGTATGAAAATAATATAAATCCATGAAAAACAAATATAATATTGAAATAAATATAAAGTTTTAGTTTAAACATATTGAAAAAGCTAGTCGCTTTTCACTTTTATGAGGGTATTAACGGTAACTCGACCCTTTTCGCAGGTAAATTTCCTAGTTCCATTTCAGTAGCAAAATGCACCAAATTAGTACTGAGTTGGTACTGAGATCTCAGTTCCAATCGAGGTTCCAATTTCCCAGTACCAATCCAGTACCACCCTTCCGGTAGGGACAGTAAAAACCAAAACAAAGAGACGCACCATTTATAATACAAGCAAATGTATGCAAATATTTTGAACAAAAAATCAATATAACTGCAAATAATTTACTTTTTAAGTGCATTCTGATTTTGTTTTAAAATTATATACTTAAAAATAAAGTTATTATTGGGTAAAAAATTGAGGAGTTATTGAACGATTGACTTAACCTCACTCTTACCACAAAACGGTCGTCCGCTACCCACTTCAAATAATTAATATATCTTGAAGATTTTGAATAATAATTATTGTGATGCATTCATACTTTTCAGAAAACTTTTTTAGGTCCTAATGAACAACTTTCTCACTGGAAGTTTATTGTTGGTGAAAATTTTTCAGATAAACGAAGCGCTGGAAGATTGAAACCCACAAATTTTGCATTGGTTCAGAAAAAAATTGTTAACTTTTTTGTTTATTATTAAAATTAATTTTTGTTTAAACTATCAATTGAACAATAAAATAAGGCGTATTTTCATTTTTATTTGATTAAAAAATATCAAAAATTTTCTTATTTATCGCGAGTTGAAGTCAACAAAATCATTAAATTTTTATTTTAAAAAAACAGAAAAAAATGCGCAATAAAATAGAAAATAATAATTTTTTCCACTCAGGAGCCAACTAATTCGAGCGTCAGAAAATTATAATCGGTTATTTGATCGGATTCTCTCTCAAAAAATTGTATATTAGGTGGTTTCTTTTTCTAAATAAATATTTTCTGATCCTTTTTTTTACACAAAAAAAAACAATTTCTAATGAAATCAGTCTTCTAAAAAAATTTTTCTAACAAGTTTTGATTTCTAAAAAAAGTTTTTTTAACAAAGTTCAATTTTTAAAAAATATTTTTAAATTTTTCTAAAAGTAATAATTTATTTTTGAAATGTTTCTATTAAAAATTTATGTTTTGGCCAACACTTCTAAGATAACATAGAATATCATCTGCAACATAATCATTATATCGAGACACAATAGTATGAAGTCTATGTTAATTTTAATTGTTAATTTAAAAATTTTTTTAATTAAAATGACACAACGAATTTTTAGTTTATACTAAACAACTGATAAGACTTCTCCGAAGTTGCTGGTGAATAACAAAAAACGATTTATATTTCATTTTAAGCTGAACTGCAATATCAATTTATTTCTGTTATTATAAATTTTAGTAGACTTTGTTAGAAAAAAAACAACTTAGAAATTGAAATTTGTTAGAAAAAACAATTTTAGAAATTAAACTGTGAGAAAAAAAAATTTACAAAAAAAAATTTAGAAATTACTTTTTAGAAAAAGTGTAACCCAACCTATTATTATTATTATTATATTAATAAATATAAATTGTAAAAACTATAAAAACTTCAGCATTTCATAATAATCAAAATGAAAGAAAAAAGGAGGAATAAATAATCACAGCCCCACAAAAAAAAAAAGTGTCATGTACTTTTGACCGGAATACCCTAACCCTATGTATTTTGACGCGCTGAGCACGAATCCGAAGTCCGTTTTGCTCCATCACGTCAGGATTTTTTTCTAACCTCAAAAAACATGTCCAATTTTGAGAAGTAGGCGATTTTTTTAAAAATTGATGTATTAACTTCAAACTTGGTATCTGGGGGTTTTTTGTTTTGCTGATTACGAATCTGAAGTTAGATTTTCAAAATCAAAAATGGCGGATCCAATATGGCGGACGAATTTTGAAAAAATTTTAAGATTTACTTCAAACTTGGTATCTAGGGGTTTTTTCGGTCGCTGATTACGAATCTGATGTCAGATTTCCGAAATTCGATATGTCTGATTCAATATTAAGGAATTATTTTTAAAAAACTGTCAGATTATTATGAAATTTGGTATCTACAGGTTTTCTAAGTTGCTGACAAGTAACACTAGGGAAGTGCCATACGCCGATTTTTCTGAAACTTGGCAGTTTTGTAGTTTTTTGAAAACAATTTGACACGTATGTTTTGTTTTTCCCCAAAAGCTGATTTATGGGGGGAAATACCCCTTGAATTTTTTTTGGTAGGGGGACATTATTTTACGAAATTTTTCAAAAATTAATGTGCAATAGTGTATCTGGGGGTTTTTTGGGTCACTGATTACGAATCTGATGTCAGATTTCAAAAATTCAAAATGGCATATCCAACATGGACTTCTATCGGCCACATTAGATACGCCATTATCAATTTTTGAAAACTGACATCAGATTCGTAATCAGCGACCCAAAAAACCCCTAGATACCAAGTTTGAAGTAAATCTTAAAATTTTTTCAAAATTCGTCCGCCATATTGGATCCGCCATTTTTGATTTTGAAAATCTAACTTCAGATTCGTAATCAGCGACACAAAAAACCCCCAGATACCAAGTTTGAAGTTAATACATCAATTTTTAAAAAAATCGCCTACTTCTCAAAATCCGACATGTTTTTTGAGGTTAGAAAAAAATCCTGACGTGATGGAGCAAAACGGACTTCGGATTCGTGTTCAGCGCGTCAAAATACATAGGGTTAGGGTATTCTGGTCAAAAGTACATGACACTTTTTTTTTTTGTGGGGCTGTGTAATTTATTTTATATTACTGATCGGGGCGCATGAATTTCCCATAAAAATCATTATTAAAAATTTTTATTTTAAAGTATTTTATTAAAAATAATTCCAAATTCGTCGAATTTTAATTTGTTCCAATTTATAATTGATAGAATTTTTAAGACGCTGAATTTTCATTTGTCCTTAATTACAAATGGCCGAACAAACTATCAACAGAAAGATTTCAGCTCAATTTAAAAAATTCACCAATCACTATTTTCTTAATTATTTTTAATTGGTCAATTTTAAAAATTGCGCCGAAATCTTTCCGTCGATTGTTTGTTCGACCATTTGTAATTTCGTACAAATGAAAATTCGGCAGCAAACAAAAAATTTGGTAGCTAAATTTTTATTATATAAAAATTCCTATAAAAAGAAAATCTGTCAATGTTTAATTTAAAAATTTTAAATTCGTCTAAAAAATATTATTTTTAATAAGTAAAATACTTTAGAATAAAAATTCGAATTAATGATTTTTATAAGAAATTCATGCGCGCCCCTACTGATTCATAAGAAAATGTTTACAAATAATTACTGTTACTATTAATTTCAAGATGAACGGAGTTTAAGCAAGTAAATGATCTAGGGTAAAAGATTTAAAGAATTAAAGTTTTATTACTTTTTACATTTATAGTATATTTAAAATGTGTAAATCTTAAGAAGACTTTTGTTCTTTAAAATCTTTCAATTTATTAAGAAAATTTAGGGATAAAAAAAATTGTTATATATTTTATTTTACTTTTTAAACGCTTTATACTGTAGAACAATAATTATTTGAAAAAATGTAATATATGTTTTTAGTCTCTGTTTTTTAGTTAATAGGCTATTTTATAATTTGAATTATCTCAAAGTATATACTGTTTCATTTCAAATATAGTACTTAAATAATCTCTGAAATTGTATCCGATGCTTGAATTGCTGAGACAGCGCAAAAGAATTTCATCCTATACGCACTTTTGTTTTAACTTAAGTAGATTATAAATTACTGAAAAATTTATTATAATAAATAAATATATGTGTTATATTTACCAAACATGAATAAGAATAGTACAATAGCTAAACACTTGTATCCCGCATTGTAAAATATAATAATTGTTGATAAGGCAATTAAACTGATAATGAAAATTTTTAAATACTTTTTAACTACATATTCTAGTTTTTCGATGAGATTCATGGTGTAATTAGAAAACTTTACTGTCATCTTGATAATATATGAAAGTGCATAGAAGCAAACGACAGTCGAAAACTAAGAAACCGGTTCAAAACTATTTTGCGTGCAAGTCCTACCTGAGGAAGTTGAAGACTGAAGACACATTCGCCTCACATCTTGTAAGCCCCCTACCATGCTACCTCAGTTGATTCGGGAATCTGCATAATTTTCTCAAGAGCTAAATTTTTCCAAATTTCGTTTAAGTAAACATAAAATTAAATTTAAATAAAATTAAAAAAATATTTAACAAACAAGCTTTTTAAAATATCCTGGAGTACAATTTTTTATTTAAAATGTTAAATTTATGTCAATTTCCCAAATAGCAACTGTTCGGAAAATAAAATTTTTCAGTTTTCCTAAAAGTTAATTTGTCAATTTTTTTAGAATTTTAGGGGAGAGTCGGATAACCCCGGATAGCAGGTAGCCGCGGACATTCTTTATTTTACATACAATACTGCTTTTTATCAGTGAAATTAATTACATATGGTATATTATTCAATGCAACTTATATTTTTAATGTGTTGATACATTTTTTTATTTATGTACATTTTATAAAAACTTTTATTCTGAAGATTAAACCTTAAAGTCAAGAAAATTTAAAAAATATACCACGCACAGAACGTCATACAAAAATTATAAATTATATTATATTTTGACTTTTTGTCACCATTTGATACAGTTTTAAAATTTATTTCATATAAATTAGAATTTACTGATTGTTAAAGCCATAATTTTTGTCTTTATATTAAAAAATTATTTATTTATTATTTATTTTCTAATTGAATTCATTTTAACAGTTATAAACAGAAACCTTGTCTTTAGCATAAACCAAATTAATTAATTTTCAAAAAACATTTACAAAATTTATTAACCAAATAACTAAAATCTCCAGGGCTACCCAACTCACCCCTATTTAATATGATAATTATAATTTAATTATAATAAAAAAAAATTAATTAAAAATTTCAAAATAAATTTTTAAAGCGTTCTTTAAAAATTTTGTATTATTATTTCTCACATCTTTTTCTGTGATTTCATTATTTTTATTCTAAATTTTAAATTTCTAAAAAATTAACAAAATAATTGTGGGCTCGTACACATACAATCACTCTATTTTTGAACAATTTATACCTCCTCCCCTCACCATATCACACTTCGTCGCAAACCTTGAACCCCCCCTATCCCTATAAAGTCACGTCACACACTTAAATTTTTTTAATGTAATACCCCTATTGAAAAAAAACACGTATAATAATACGTATAATAATACGTATAATTATACGTGTTTTTTTTCACTAGGGACAGTAAAACCTCGTTAACACGAACCCTTACAACAAGAATTTCACTTTAGCACGAACAAAAGTTTCGGTCCCTTAAAAATAACATGAGAAATATGTTAACGGATAACACGAATTTCGTTATAACGAGAACAAATTCTCTAGTCCCTTCGAATTCGTGTTAACGAGGTTTTACTGTATTTATATGATTATAAGTCTAATACAGTAAAACCTCGTTAACACGAATTCGAAGGGACTAGAGAATTTGTTCTCGTTATAACGAAATTCGTGTTATCCGTTAACATATTTCTCATGTTATTTTTAAGGGACCGAAACTTTTGTTCGTGCTAAAGTGAAATTCTTGTTATAAGGGTTCGTGTTAACGAGGTTTTACTGTATACAAATTAATAAATAAAACGACATTCAAAAAAGTGTTACCTAACGATCGAGCTCGATCCTCCCCCTCACCCAAGCTGTGTGGCTATTACTATGTGCACAACCCCTTTTACACTAAGAAGAAAATTTATTTGATTCAAATAATTAGTTACTTGACTATTATCAAATAAATATTGATTTGTATCAAATAATTATTATTTGAGTCAATTGAAATAATATTTATGTTAAATACAAAAATTATTGGTTCAAATTCAGTTTATTTTATTCGATAATAGACAAATAATCAATTATTTGAATCAAATAAATTTTTTTTTCAGTGTAAAAAAACTTAAAAATTTTATTTTCCGATAAATTCCATCTTAAAATTTAAGAAAATTTTCCGTGTAATTTTTCAGCAAATTATTATTGAAAATTAGCTGAAATCTTATTTAGAAATTTTGGAGTAAATTTACACTGCAAAGTTGAAAAAGCGTATTTGCCATAAGTTTGCAGCAAAATTGCAAATATTTGTGCTATCTGTAGTTTTTACATTTTATAAACTGCGTTCATTCTATAATATATTTTAAAACATTCATCTACAGATCCTACATGGAATTTAAGTTTAATTTTGTACCTAAATATTTAAAATTTTTAATTAAAAAATGTTTGTCATTGGGTACAAAGGCGATTGAAAATAATTATTTTACCTCACATGCTCAAAACACTCGTGTTATTGTGCGCGCGAAGCAGGTTGTAACTCGAAGTTTTTAGACTATCTCTAGAGAGGAAAAAACACTTACGCAGCGGCTTTATTATTAAATTGAGTTTTGTAAAAGTAAGATTTAAAATAAAAGTTATATAGTTTAACATGTATTCTATTCTATTCTATTCTAGAGTATTCAAAATTATTTTTATCAAAATAATTTTAAAAATATTTTTATAATTTTTTATTTCCAACTAAAAAAGTGTTTGCATTATTCTTTCTTAACTTTTATTTTATTTCACTTCTTTAAATTTCATATAAAAAATTAATATTTAGAAATTTCATTGCACAGATCATTTTTTATAACTTTTTTGTTTCATCTCTTTAATTAATTATTTTTAAATGTATTATTAATATAAAAAAAATTACAGAATGTAAATAAACATTAATATTGAAAAATATTTTCGTACTGTTATTGAAATAATTGTTTATTGATGAATGGTCGGTAAATAAGTATAGATTTTTGAACAAAAAATAAAGAGTTAAATTGAAAATACGAGTAGGTTAAAAATACAAGTAATAATTATTTCCCACAAAATATCTTAACCCTTAACTGGCCCAATTCCGCGTTCGAACGTAAATGGCACAACGGGTCTTCTGGACCCGACGTATTAAAACGTCAAAGGTACAGCCAGTATTAAATATTTTTGCTCAAAAATTTAATCTGAGGTTGCTTATGATGTGTTTCTTAAAATACAGGGTCAGTTGGGGTAAATGGGGACAAAATCCCTATTTTTCACAAATTACGTAAGTTCCTTCCTTTCAAAGGTAATATTCGCAGGGTTATTATTTTTAAGTTGTTATTTACGTTCCCAGGATTAATTTTATGCAGCAGAAAAAAAATTAAATAAGCTTTAAACGCATGAAACTGACTGTTCCCATTTTACCCCAAGATTTATAAAATTTCCTAAAATTTGGGGTAAATGAGGACAGCATAGTTTCAAAGAAAGGTTTTAAAAAAAGTTTCTTTAAGTATATTAATGTATTAAGAGATGAAAAAACTTGATAAAAAATTTTAATATGGCCGACGAACTTAAAAATTTTCTTATAAATTGAGGGCCTCCATGCAATAAGGGGACGAACGTGATTTTCGTTGTCTCCTTGCGCAGCCGGCCGCGCGCCGTCCGTGGGGACTTCTACTGGCGCGCTCGTCCCCTTATTGCATGGAGGCCCTCAATTGATTAAATTTGCTTTGTTTATGTCTTTTATTTTTTTTCAGTATTTTGTCTCGCATTTGAAAAAAAACAGCCTTAAAAATCATAAAAAATTTTTTTTCTATTCCTTATGATTCCTATAACAGAAATTCACTTAAATTTTTTATTTTTGTCAATTTGGTTAATAATATTTACCTCGAATTTTTAGATTCTTAGCGTAAACGGGGACAGCTTGTTATAATTAACTAAATTGACAAAAATCAAAAATTCAAGTGAATCTGTGTTACAGGAGTCATAAGGAATAAGAAAAAAATGTTGTATGATTTTTAAGTCTGTTTTCTTTGAAATGCGAGATAAAATACTGATAAGATAAAAGCTTGGCAATACTCAGAACCTCTTGTAGGTGCCCGAGTCGAAATTTTTCCCTCTTTTCACCCTCGATTTTCTCAGCCTCTTTTCAGCCTGAAATCATGCGCTTATTTCCAAATCTGCATGTTTAGAGGTTGAAAAGAGGTCTTGGCATTTTTTCTTAATTTGAATTTTTCGAAGTTTTATTCCTCCTAAAAGTTTTATAGTATAACGACAAAGACCAATAAATATATCTTCAATAGGGTCAATAAATAATGTCCATAAGAAAAAAAATCCATTTTTTACATTTTTTTAATTTTATTTTTTCGTTTTTTTTGTTTTTTTTTAACCTCTTTTACGCCTCTCTAGTCATCTTTAAACCCTCCTTTCAGCCTCCAATATAGCAGATATTTCCACTTTTGCAAATTCGAGGTCAAAAAGAGGGTATGAAAGTGTTGGAGAGAATAAAAGGAGGATAAAAGGAGATTTTTAGAGAACTTACAGAGAGTCTAAATTTCGACTCGGGTGATTTGAAGTTAAAATATTGACGTTGAACTTAATTTTAAAACTGTAAATTAAGCTCCAACACCTCTTGTCCTCATTTACCCCAACTGACCCTGATTATTTTTACAGGGATTAATTTATTTTGTAAGTTAGTTAAAAAAAATTGTGAAAAATAAAAATTTCAAAATGGCAAAAGAGATTTTTAAAATTGATCAAATTTTATTCAATTTCGCTGCTCACTGACTTTTAGAAAAAATAAATATCAAGTAATTTAAAAAAAAAATTATCTTGTGTATACGGCCTATACGGGTCTTAAAGAGTACAATTTAAGCTTTAATTTAAACTGTATATAGAAGTCTGTAGGATGTCGGGTTAAAAAGAAACAGAATACTGAAAACACGATTTTTTGGGTCTTTACACCCACTTTACTCAAAAGTCTGACGAGATACGCAATTTCGGACCTTTAAAGAATAATATATTTATAGGTGAGGAAACATTTTTTGAACGATATGGTTAAAGGATGTTTTTTTTTATTAAAAACGCAAAAAAATTAAATTAGACTTTACTTACAATTTAAAAATATAATCGGACAAATGCGAGTTATACTCGCGCTGAGATCAAGGGCTGCGTACACGAAGTGAACTTATTTGGTATAAAAACAAATGTTTAAAAAATATAAGTTTTGTATGTCAAATAATGTAAGTGAGAAGAAGAGGAACAATTTTCTTAAATTTTTTTACAAAATTGTTCCGATTTTATTTTCATTAAAATAAACATTTTCTTTAAAAAAATTGTGAGAAGAAAATATTCTTATCGTGTTTGTAAAATTATTTCTATAATCTACACACACAAATACGTGAAAATGTATAAATTTTAATCACTTTAGATAAAATTTTCTTTGTTTTTGGTGGAAAAATACATTTTTTTTCTTGAAAAATTTGATAAAAAGTTGACGATCAACACCAATCATGATCGCTTTTTCTTCCTGTAATTTTCATGCAAAAATACATTCGTATACTAAATATGAACTTTCTGGGTTGAATATTGTGTGCACTAGGGGGATTAAACTCTTTTTTTCCAAATTTTTTATTTTTCCTTGACAACGGTTCCTGTAATTTTCACGTAAAAATACATAAGTGTACCAAATTTCAGCCCTCCAGATAAATTCTTGTGACCGTTAGGTACACCATTTCAAAAAACCGATATTAATAGGGTTCCGAACCTTGTACGGAACCCTAAAAAGTTCAATTTTATAGCTCTTTTGGGTCAAATAACATTTAAATATGCCAAAAAAAAATTTCAAGCGAAAATTTTCACCTTCCTCTAGTAGAAAGAAAAATAGAGTGATAAAAAAATTTGTTTTAATAATTTAATTTCTTATTTAAATTATAATTTAAAATATGTCCTATTTTTTTTACCCTTTTTTCAACAAATTATCCTAAATACTATGTTCTACTTCTTAAGAAACAAAACATATTCTTAAACATAATCTTGTTTCTGTGTCAGTCGAGTGCGTGAACCCCCTTAAATAGGAATAGAGTAAAAAAACAAGAGCTGGGTATAAATAACTACATATATGAAAATTTAAGTTTCAAGTGGACAATACTTGTATAGGTTCAGATAAAATTCACAACCTTTTTCTCTCTGTTTCGAGCAATGATCTTTCATTCAAACTACGAAACAGGATTTTAAAATTTAAATAATGTAAAGTATGAGTACCTGCTTAAAGCACTGAACAACTTACAAGCATTCTTAAAATCGCTGTACATAAAATAATTTCAAATGTATCTCAACAAAAACAGATGTATAAATTAATGACAAGAATCACATTTTTAAAAATTCATTTTTATATAGAATGATTAATATATTTTACAAATTTATAATTTTTATACAAGATATTGAAATATACATAATTATTATGATTTTGTTTGATGACATTCCCATACAATAAATTCTTATTTCTAGGAAGTCATTAAAAAAAGTTTCTGCTTTCATTTAAAAAAGAAAAATTATAATTTGTTTTTATTTTTAATTTGACTAGAGTTTAACATTAATCGATTAAATGTTTTTCTCTCAAAGGAAGTGACATCATTCAAAATCATAATGCTTTCTTCCTATTGAAGCTCGATTAACAAACAATTAATAAAATGCTTCAGTTGAAAAGTTAAGTTACAATAATAATTTTTCAACTATATTTACATTATATGGACAGAACTGCACATCATTTGTGTCAGTAGAAATTTTTTTTTAGTTATCAAACAGAAAGTATGATAAATAATAATAATAATCGTTGTTGTGAATCTATTATCTCTACGTTAATTATTTTTTTTTAGTTTTTCCTGCTCGCTAAGTGATTTAGAAAATATATCTGTACTCAATAGTTTCTAAAAAGAAATTAAGTAGGAAGGTATAGTGTAGTTTTCATATTTCATTTTGTCCCACTAATTAAACGAGCAGGCTAAAATTTGTGGCTTGTTTTCATGTAACTAACGCAGAATTGAAAATGATTTTAAAAATTTTTGAATGGTTATTTCAGCATTGTCGTTTGAATATGTAAAATAAATTCAATGAGTAAAAAATGAATGTATGTCTGAAGAAATTCAGAAGGCTTATTAACAGAAACCCAGAAAAAAACTCACGTCAGTGCCTTTCAGATTGAATTCGATAAGGTAAATGCGCCAGTGATTGTCAGTTTGACGCAATTGACGTTAAAAAATAAAATTTATATTTTCATTTTCATTAAATATAATGCAATGTATTCTTCATAGTTTCGTGCAGGTCACACAATAAAACCAGGGTGTCCAGCAAAAAATACAAAAAAAAATTCCCTGAAATTCCGACTTTTTCCTAACCTTCTTCCACTTCTTTCTAAGAAATATTTAATATTAAAAGAATGAAAACTATCAAATATTATAGTATTTTTAAGATAATAAAAAACATTTTATTTATTATCATTATAAACTTTGTCTTGCACTGAAAAATTTAAAATATTCATAAAAATATTCATTTTTGGCAAATTTTTAAAAAGTTCCCTGACTTATAATTAAATTTTCTAACATTCCTGACTTTTCCCTGACCGCTGGACATCCTGGAAACGAATTTTCCAATGTTTAAGTTGACGGAAATAAAAAACTGAAAACCTCTATTCATTATGACGATTTGCATTTAGAAATAACGGTAACTTAATTATTGACTTCAGGGTATCTAACAATTGCTAGGAAAAAAATTCCCTGACTTTTCCCTAACCTAAATTACACTAAAATTTTTTTATTTTGATCAAATAAAATTTATTTTGATACAATTAAATCATTTACCCGTCTATTATCCACTAATTTCATATGTATTTAAACCAAATAAATGTTTTATAAAAAAAATAAAATATTTAAGTGAAATAAATAAACTAAATGGGAACGTATAAATATTCTCAACATTTAATTTAAAAAAAATTTTTACGGCGTCGAATATTAAATTATCAAATTTTTATTTAGTAAAATTATATAAGGCAGATTTTCTAGTACATCGAATTTCAAATTAATACAATTTCAATTCAACGGAATTTATGTAAAGAAAAATTGCACAAAGAAAATTTTTTTTAACAGAATTGTTATTTTAGTAAATTTTGATTTATCCAAATATTTACTTAACAGAATTGTCATTGAATAAATCCACAATTAACAGAATTTCTATTGAACAAAATTCTTAATTAACAAAGTTTTTATTAAAGAAAATTTTAATTCTAACTAGTTATTATTTAACAGAATTCTCATTTATGAAAAATTCTACATAGTTCTTTTTTTATAAATTTTTCTAGACATAAATTTCGTCAAATTGAAATTATATTAATTTTAAATTTTAAATTTAAAAAAAGTATTAGAAAAAATGCTTTATAAGAGTTCTGCTAAATAGAAATTCTTTTAAATCGAATTTCAGTTAAATGTAAATTCTTCGATATGAAAATTTTGTATAATATAAAATCCACTTTATACAATTTTTCTAAATAGAAATTCGACAATTTAAGATTCCCTGACTTTTCCCTGATCATTTAAATTCCCTAACTTCCCTAACCGTTAGACACCCTGGATTTACATGATAATATATTTTAGTATTTGTCAGGTGAAAGTACCTGCAAAATATAAAATATTTAATGACGATAGCTAAAGCAATTGAATGATAAATACCAACAAATCAATAAATTATTTTACAATTAGGTAAATTAATTAATACAAGATTAAAAAATACAAATCTGAAATGAATAAAGATAAAAATATATTAACAAATAATTTATCTGTATTTACCAAAAAATGAATAAATTTTGCATTTTTTCTTCGTTCTATTTTATTCTTACATCTAAATATTAATATATTATTTTAATTAAATATCTGACAAATTTGCATATTTTAAACATAAGATACGAATAAATATTACATTTAATTCAATATCCTTAAAAATTGATAACAATTACTTTATAAAATTCGTTTTACTTGTCAAAATTGTCATTAAGACTGTTAATTACTCATTTAAAAATTAGAAATGTATTTCGATGGTAATCACCAGAGCATTTACCTTAATCTTTAGTTAGTCTAATTGTAAGTGTCATAAAGTCTTCACATTAATTTATTATTATCCAAAACTTTCACCAAGTTATTATAGTGACTAAAATCAAATATGTTCTTTGTCAGCGTCTTTTCGTAGAATATTTAGAAATTTTATGTTTTAAGGAAGATGCAAATTCGGAAGACTTTCGTGAGAATATAACAATGTCGTGTGTATGGAATGTGTACAAAATTTGAATCAATGCATCGAATCTTCGCTTTAGAGTGCATCTTCTTTAAAACTACGTTTTACATTTCACATTGTGTGTTTTTGATTTTAAGAAAGATTATCGAATAAATTATTGCATTTCTCTTGTTGAAAAAACTCTCCAATGAAATGAATCATTCCAGATGATTAAATTTTTTTTAAAAAATAGATTCGAAATAGAAAGTCGATTACGCTTATTTTCTTCTGTCAAGAGTCGTCAGTCCCATAAACTTTAAAAACCGACAAAATAATCCCCGGTTAACTAGTTTGTGAAACCTGTTTTAAAAGCAACAATTTAACACTTACATATTGATCACATCTGTTTGAAAAGTTGCAACCAGTGCAACTGTAATTTAATTAGCAATATCGTCATGCTGGACATTGATTTGTCGATTTTCAAAGACATTGAACGAAGGATCGCCATCAGTTGCCATTTTTCCGAGCCAGGAAAAAAGAATTACAATGAAGATGAAAGCGATGAAGCCACCAACGGCAAGTAACACGTACCTTTTGTATAAACTTCCAGGATTGTTCCTTCGACGTGCAGGAGATCTTGAAATTAATTTCCACCATCGTAAGAACCAATCAATCGCCGACTTTCGTTGATATTTATTTTCATCGTGATCGAAAGACACGTCTTTTGGTTCGTCGTATGCTTCAAAAACTTTTCTTGGTATTTGATTGGTTAGAGTCGCATCTATGTTCACCACAGAGTAAGGTGGTCCTACCTTCTGATTATTTACATGAACGTTATTGGTCAGAGAATTTGTGGAATTGAGTAAACTATTTGTTCGGGAAGTAGCTATTGTTGACGATGTAGAAGGAGATGCAGGAGGCGCAACAGAAGAGTGATTTTTAAAAGCGCTGTTTTCCACTGATGCTTTGCGTTCTTGTACTGGCTTCTGTTCTCTGTCTTCGCTTAACTGCAAAAAAATATAATTCCTTTAAAGTTCTTTACTTTAAATTTAAGAACCCCAGCTTCGAAATATACAATGTCTGTAAATTATTTACCCTGACTAAATGGAAGGAAGGTGAACAATTTCCGAAAAAAGCGTTTTGTAATTTATGGACGACCCCTCATCAGGATGGTATTAATTAAAAATAAAAAAAATACTTACTAAAGGTAATCCAAGACCTGCCCTTGCCCAGTTGACACCAGCCAATTTTTCTCTAAGTACATCAGCAACAGGAGATACTAAATTAGATTGTGGAAATATTCGCGATTGGCAAATAGGACATGTGTATCCTGCAGGTGCTGTTGTGGCTGGCAAGTTTCTAGCAAATTTATCTAAACATCTCCAATGATAGACATGGTAGCAAATTAATCTTACACAATCTCCTTCATTCAAGTTTTCTGAACATAATGTGCAAACAGGAGTCCAATCGCTGTCCTGCAGCCATTGTAAATAAGACTGTACTATGCACTGCGAACAATAAGTAAAGAAAATTTAAATACCTATAAACTCATAAATGAAAGTTTATGAAAATGCTTTAGGATAAAAATATTTCGTTTTTAAGTTTATGCTCAGATTGATAAAGTATTAAGATATGTTCTTTCATTAAATTTAAAATTTATTTAAATTAAATTAATATAATTTGGGTCAGTTCACTGTCTTTCGCCTAATAGTGGTTGCGACCAAATTTTTGAAAAATCTACTCTTAATATATGAGGCATTCTCTGAAAAAAAGCCACTTAAAAAATTTTTTTTCTGCAATGATATATGTTTTAGTATATGTAAAAACTAAAATAAAAAACATGATTTCAGGTCCGTGTAATGCGGGGTTGCCATACTGGCAGGGGTCAAACTTTTTAGAACAATAATTTTCAAACCGCTATAGCTTTAAAATGAATGAATGAATTTTAAAATATCCAAAGAGGATACCACTAGGTATCCTGCTTCTTCTATTGACATATTTTAGGTAAGCAAAGCATTTGCTCAGATTAAGAGCGTTGCGCTGAGCTGGTTTTTAATTTATAACTCATAGAAATATAACTGTCCTTAAATTGCCTTTGGGGGGTAAAAAGGTGATGAAACAAAGAACATTTTGAGGTAGTTTTGAAAAAAATGAAGGGGGCATAAGGGAGCGTTCACAAATTACGTAACGTTTTTTTTTAATTTTGACCCCCCCCCTCCCCCATGTAACACGTTATTGCATACATTAGCGCCATTTTTTCTGCTGTCCGTAACAAAGTGCTTGACCCCCCCCCAAAAAATGTTACGTAATTTTTGAACGCTCCCTAAGGGGTTAAAAATTTTAAAAAAATTTATTTTTAATTTTTTCTATGAAATATTTTTTTTTTAATTTTTGAGGTACATAGTTTAAAAGTTTAGGAAATTCTGCAGAAAATACTCTCTGAGTGTTTTAAAATTCATTCATTCATTTTAAAGTTATAGCGGTTTGAAAATTATTTTTCAACAAATTTTGACCCCTGCCAGTATGGCAAACCCCGCATTGCACGGACCTGAAATCATGCTTTTTATTTCAGTTTTTACATATACATATATAATTGTCTTTGGGGGGTAAAAAGGTGATGAAACAAAGAACATTTTGAGGTAGTTTTGAAAAAAATGAAGGGGGCATAAGGGAGCGTTCACAAATTACGTAACGTTTTTTTTTTTAATTTTGACCCCCCCCCCTCCCCCATGTAACACGTTATTGCATACATTAGCGCCATTTTTTCTGCTGTCCGTAACATATATCATTGCCAAACAAAAATTTTTAAGTGGCTTTTTTTTCGGAGAATGGCTCATATGTGAAACTCGATGATTTTCTGAGTTTATTAACCATAATATTATAGTAAAAATGTTATTCTCTTTAAAAATATTAATTGAGAAGCTGGATATTAGAACTCGCTCTCCGCTCGGCTGAACTCCGTAGAGCCAGTCAAACGTTCGAAAAAATGATAAAAATTGAAATTCAAAATTTTGAATTTTGAAAAATACTACATTGTAGGAAATTAAAAGGCGCATCTATTTTCTCTTTTAAATTTTTTAATAGTTTAGTTTTTAGAGACCAAAAACTGAGAAATTTAAATTGTTAAATTTAATTAAGTTTTAAAACATAAATCATCATATCTCCGACAATTATTAATGAATTTGATTCAAATTTGATATGTAGACGTATTAGGGTCTACTGAAGGCGATAAAATAATAAAAAATTAAAAAATCATTAATTGTTAAAATTGTTTTTAATAAAAATTGAGACCAGTTGATAATAACGTTTTCTTACTTTCATCGACAAAATGTCTACGGGGAACTTTGTAGTTCACACAACTTCCAGTGAGACATTTGTTTATCACTATATAAGGAAGTTTTCTGTAAAATATTAAATCAATTCATTGAAAACTTTATTGAAGTTTTAAGAAAGTGCGGTTAGCGCGCAAGTAAGTCCAACGCTACTCGCACAGTCAGCTGTTGCAGTTTTTCACATTGAAATATAAATTTCTATATTATTATTATTTTCTATTCACAATTAACATTTACAGTTTTTTTTTGACATTTTTAATAAATGGTAAAATATCGTTCTTTAAAATTTTTTCTTTTTTTTAAGTTTTAATTATACTCTTTAAATCTGAATAAGTTAATATTTACTTATTGTAAGTCTAAAATCGTCCACGTAAAAAAATAAGTGTATATTCATTTATTTAAAATTTATATGCACTTGTTTTTTTACGTGGACGAGTTTTACCAGGTTTATAAACTTTGGAAAATAAATATGATTTGTGTAATATTTTAGACATACATATATACCTATATTTTACCATTTATTCAAAATGACAAAAAATCTGTAAATTATACCTATCTGTTTAATAAACTAACATTAGAAATATTGGATTAAACATTGTAATATTAATTGTAAACAAATGTTAATTGTGAATAGAAAAATATAATAATATAGAAATTTATATTTCAATGTGAAAAACTGCAACAGCTGATTGTGCGAGTAGCGTTGGACTTACTTGCGTGCTAACCGCGCTTTTTTAAAACTTGAATAACTTTAAAATTTTTCAATAAATTAATTTAATATTTTACAGAAAATTTCCTTATATAGTGATAAACAAATGTCTCACTGGAAGTTTTCTGAACTACAAAGTTCCCCGTAGACATTTTGTCGATGAAAGTAAGAAAACGTTATTATCAACTGGTCTCAATTTTTATTAAAAACAATTTTAACAATTAATGATTTTTTAATTTTTTATTATTTTGTCGCCTTCAGTAAACCCTAATACGTCTACATATCAAATTTAAATCAAATTAATTAATAATTGTCGGAGATATGATGATTTATGTTTTAAAACTTAATTAAATTTAAGAATTTAAATTTCTCAGTTTTTGGTCTCTAGAAACTAAACTATTCGTTTTATTAAAAAATTTATAAGAGAAAAAAGTTGCGCCTTTTAATTTCCTATAATGTAGTATTTTTCAAAATTCAAAATTTTGAATTTCAATTTTTATCATTTTTTTGAACGTTTGACTGGCTCTACGGAGTTCAGCAGAGAGCGAGTTTTAATATCCAGCTCCTGAATTTTTAAAAGTAGGAGGTTCACGAATTCACGATGGATGTGATTTCGCAACCTTAAATTTTTCAATTTTTTTAAGAACGCTATTATTGAAAAAAAATTACATGCAAATAAATCAATTTATTCTGCATGCAAGAACGAAAGAATTATTACAAAAATTTATTCTTTTTAGATAATATATGATTTTGAAAAAAAATATTTTTTTTACTTATAAACATTTTTGCCATCGTTCCGAAAAATTTGAGGTTCTTCACATACATTTTAATAATATTCTTTATCTTCTATTACAATTTCACGAAGGTGTTTTACTTCGTTTTGTCGGTATTATTACTCAAATTTTTCGGAGTACCGACAAAAAAGTTGAAAATAAAAAAAAAATTTTTGAAATTCTTTCAAAATCATATATCATCCATAAAGAATTATTTTTTTTTTTAATTCTTTCGTCCGTGCGTGCAGAATAAAGTGATTTATGTTTTTGGTAAGTTCCAACATCTAATTTTTAACATTTTTTTAATAATAGTGTTTTCAAAAAAATTGAAAAATTTTAGGTTTAATTTTAATTAAATCTATATTCGTTTTGTAGCGAAATTTGAATGATGAAATTTTAAAAATGAAAAAAAAAAATTTCTGATTCGGAAAGGCAAAAAAAAAGTTCGAATAAAATTTTTTATGGTTCGGATAATTGAGATTCCACTGTAATTATTTCACTCTAAATCTGAATTAGTAAAAATGTTTACTAATTCAAATTTAGAGAGTAAATTAAAAAATTTAAGTTTAAAATTAAAAATTGATAAATTTTAACTTCCTTTTCAAAAAATATTTAAAAAATTCTAATATACTTTCTAACTTTTAGAATAAAAATAATCAGTAATTAAAAAATTATTTTGGAAACTTTAAAACAACTTTCCAAAATTACAGATTGAGTGAAAAATGTTGTTTTTAATTTACATTATGTATCTTATTAAATACAAGATAGTTAAAATAAAAAAAGTAATGTATTTAAAATATTTCGAAAAACTTGAAAACTGACATATTTTTGTTAATTTTGAAAAATTTCTATAAACATTTGGTGGGATTATTTGACACTACAAAAGATAGTAATTTGCAAAAGTGCATCTAAAATTCCACCAGATTGTAAAGTTTAATAATAACAATGAAATAACGAATGTAAATAAATGAAAGTTATTACCTTTGGATGGTTTGTAACCATACAGTTTTCGCAGACGTTCACTCTGTGCTCAAAACAAAACTGGTTAGTTACTCTTCTCCATGGACATTTACAAAGTCCCATTGTTGTTTCAAAAAGAAACAGATGTAAACAGATTGAGACTAAAGTTATAAATAACTGTAAGGACGAAATTTATAACTTTCTTATTTTCCTTATCGACAGATGGGAGAAAATAACCTTATTTTGAATTATTAAAAACCTAAACTTTGATTAAAATAATGACAACCCAGCTTAACTACGGCCACGTCGTAGTGTTGTCGGTGTTGTCTTTTGTCGACGTGCCGGAGTGCACCGGAATGAGCGCTGCGGAAATTAAGCTTTATTCACATTGGGCGGTTCCTTAGGGTGAAATCACATGTAAAATGTCAAATTTTCTAACACTTTTTTGTCGTTTTCTAACGCAAGTGTTGTTATGGCAACACGTACGTAAGACAAAGACAGAAAAGGGAGGACGTCAATATGACCACGACTGAACAACTCTTTTTTTTTATCGTCATGTACAAAATTAACTTGTCAAAACCATGCGCCCCACTGATCTCTATGTGCGCCCACATTTTTTTAACAGTGAATTTGTGTCGATGTAAACAAAAAAGTGGTAAATTTACAAAAAGTTGTAAAACTATTACTTTCAAAGAATTAACTTGACAATAAATTTTTTAAATTCTGTACTATTACAAATTTCTGCAAATTTACAATTAGAAAATGAGAATCAGGCAAAATATTTTATATGGTGTAGTTTGCATAGTGGTTTTCATCAACTAAATTTTGTTTTTTTACATTTTTCATTTATATGAATATTATTAAAATTTACATTCAAGTGAAAAATGGTTTTAGTATGTGCGTATTGTGGAAAAAAAGATGCAAGAGGTGTTTCTTTTCACAAGTTAGTACATATTTTGATATTATGTGTAATTTTTAGGTTATATTTTGTTTCACTAGTTTACTTTTTACACTGTAAATATTTTTCCCACAACTTTGCCGCTTCGAAACATGATTCGAATTTTATTTATACAATTATTGTGGTAAAAATTTTATTCCCTTTAAAAATATTAATTATCAAAAGTAGAAAGTTTACGATGTGATTTCGTAACCTTAAATTTTTCAATCTTTTTTAAAAACGCTATTATTAAAATAAATATTAAAAATTAGATGTTGGAACTCACCAAAAACATAAATCACTGTATTCTGCACACAGTAAATAAAGAATTATTATAAAAATTTATTCTTTTTAGATGATATATGAATTTGGAAAAAATTTTCTTGAAAAGAATTTCAAAATTATTTTTTTACTTATAAATTTTTTGTCGGTGCTCTGAAAAATTTGAGGTTTTGCACATTGATTTTTAATAATATTCTTTATCTTCTATTAAAATCCAACAAAGGTTTGTTCTGGAGATATTAAATTTCAAAATTTTTTATCTAAAAAGGTTAATTAAAAGATTTAAAGTTAATTAACCAAATTCAAACTGCTTCATTTTCTATAAATATGTAGCAATTTGAAATTGATAAGTTAACTTTAAGCATTTTAATTAACCTTTTTAAATAAAAAATTTTGAAAAATAATATCTACAAAATGAAGCAAAACATCTTCGTGATAAGATAAGATAAAGAATATTATTAAAATGTAATGTGCAAAAACCTCAAATTTTTCGGAGCAAAGACAAAAAAGTTATAAATAAAAACAAAATTTGAAATTTTTTTAAGAAAATTTTTTTCAAAATCATATACCATCTAAAAGTAATAAATTTTTTTAATAATTATTTTGCTCCTGTGTGCAAAATAAAGTGATTTATCTGTTTAGTAAGCTCCAACATGTAATTTTTTTTTAATAATAGCGTTTTTAAAAAAATTGAAAGTTTACGAAATCACATCGTGAACCTCCTACTTTGGATAATTAATATTTTTAAGGACTTTTATCCACGGAAATGCAGAGCTCTAGAAAAAATAATTAATTAACATTTAAATAATTAAAATAACATTATTAATTATACTTTCTGAAAGATGAGATAATAATTTTCAAGAAAAAAATTTGTAAACATGCAAAATTTATTTGTTGATACAAGTTTTTAGTTATATCGCTTCTACAGAATTTTTTAAAAATGATTCGATTTCAATGAAATATGGCTTAATTTCTTCAGAAAATGATTCTCTACAACTTCACAGTGGGGATTTTCAAACAAGCAAGCCGTTTGGCAAATACAGCTATTTGTTTAAAAAAAATTCAAATTTTTCTTTTAAACATAGATTAAAACTAGATTTTTTTAAAAACTTGGTCGCAACCACTTTTAGACGAAAGTCAGTGGACTGACCCAGAAAGATGAAGCAATAGAAAATTTCATGTCATGGAAAATGAAAGTATATTAATCAAATCAAATTCTTTGTAAAAAATCCAAGTCATTAAATTTTTGTTTGTTAAGTTAATTAAATAATTTTTTGCCTCATATTAAAATAATTTTCAGATTCCCAACACGTTTGGAATTACGTCAAAAGTGGCTTAAAAACATGGGGTTTGATGAAAATTTTGAATTAACATTGAACACCAGATTATGTGGCGATCACTTTGATGAAAAATGTTTCTCAAAAGCGACAAATGACCAAGAAAGAATTCATTCAGAAAGCATACCAACCATTTTTGATAGATATTACTTGAAGTGTATTTCTTGCAATAATGTTAAAAAAATAGGATGCAACGTAAATTTTCGCAAGTAAGAAAATTATTTTACAGAAATTTTTAATTCATTTTATAATAATAATAATAATACATTTCTAAATATAATATACCTATTATTATTTTACTTTCATATTTAATTATTAGTTTAAAATATCTTTTAATATAATTATTGAAAATCTTGCAAATTGTTGTGAAAGGAAATTTTTTGCAAATATTTTTTATTCATGAGGCATTCTATTTCAACTCGTTCCACCTTCAAAAGACGATCGCTAGCAGAGCGTTTTTCAAGAGATTTTTATTATATAAAAAAGAAAATAATATTATAATGTTATACACTATTTCGAAAGAGAATTTAATGATCTTTAGATTGGTCTTAACATTTTTTTAATTTTCTCACAATTTCATACAGAAATCTTGATTTGAAATATAAAACTCATGATATCTCAAAACTCCCCCCCTTCAATTTTATTTTAATATATATGAAAATAAAGCTTAGTTTTTCTAGTTTCAAACTCCATTTGGTTTATCATGGACATTTGTGAGGATTTTTGGATAACAGTGATTCAAAATATGTGTTTTTGAAAACTTTGACACGAATTATGAAGTTGAATCCTAACCCATTCAACCTACGTCACACACGAATTTCATTGTTTTGAAAAAAATCACAACCTGTACAATAATTTATTTGAAATATTTATTTATTTATACAATAATTATCTTTAAATAAATAATTTGAATAAATGTGTTCTAAATATTTTAAATTCAATCTTCTAATAGCTTTTATCTTTCATTAGCATAATTTTTATTATTTATAAGAGACAAATAAAAAGCAATATTAGTACGCAATATTGCGAATTTTTGCACCGCGATAATAATTGTTAATATATGAGAACAATTTTCCTAATTTTTTGTACTTCTGAGATTTTTAAGCAAGAGTCAAAGTATGATTTACTCTGAAAATTTTTTTAAAAAATTTCTTAAAAAAAGATTTAATGAATCTAAAACAATTTCAGGAACACAAAAATATCACACCTTAATTCCTGTTTCTGAAACACAAATGCTTTTAAAAAAATATTCTTCGTCCGAGGAAAGTAAATTTTTCAAAACTAAATAAAGAAAAAAATTTGTTATTTAAAAATTAGTATTTTTTCAAGGACTATAATTCTTCTGTGTTTAATTTTTGCTGAAATAAAAAATGTTTCGTTTAACCTACAAAAAATGTCTTTTTTTTCATAAAATAAAAGTATTTATTTAAAATTTTCCTCCAATAATAATAGCATTTAATATTAAAAAATTAATTTGGTGAGTAATTTTAAATTTAAACTTAAAAATCACTTAAAAGCATTTTATTAAAATAAATACGATATTATTAATCTCCTTACAGAAAATTTTTATTATTATAGGTTGCGATTTTTTTTCAAAACAATGAAATTCGTGTGTGACGTAGGTTGAATGCGGGTTAGGATTCAACTTCATACTTCGTGTCAAAGTTTTCAAAAACACATATTTTGAATCACTGTTATCCAAAAATCCCCACAAATGTCCATGATAAACCAATCGGAGTTTGAAACTAGAAAAACTAAGCTTTATTTTCATATATGTTAAAATAAAATTGAAGGGGGGGTGTTTTGAGATATCAAGAATTGAATATTTCAAAACGCAATTTCTGTTTGAAATTGTAAGAAATTAAAAAAAATGTTAAGACCAATCGAAAGGTCGTTAAATTCTCTTTCGAAATAGTGTTTAACATTATATAAATTATTTACTTTTGATATAAAAATATTAACTTAAAAAACGCTCTGCTGGCGATCGTCTTTTGAAGGTGGAACGGGTTGAAATAGAATGCCTCTCATACTTATGATAATTGTTTGCAGATTTCCGTTTAAAAATGATAAACTTTTAAAAGTGTGGATAAAAAATATTGGACTTGAGAATTTTTATCCTAATGACAGAAGTCTTATTTGTGATGAACATTTTGAGGATCATTGTTTTTACAAACGGAAAACAGGTGGTCAAATTTTAAAGCAAAATGCTATTCCAACTTTATTTTTCCCATATATTTTAAAAGGTATTTTGGTTAATAATATTTTTAAAATTTTCGAATTTTTATCATTCCCGTCAAAAATTTTGTTTTAAATAAAATAAAAAAATATACGTATTTTTTCATTTTGATTTTAATAAATATTTAATGGTATCTCAAAGCCCATGGATTTTTACATATATTTTGTATGGGAAAAAACACTTTTTCGTAGATTTACTGTAGAATCATTAAAAATCATCATTTTTCGAGCGGACTACTCTACTTTTCTTTAAAAGTGTTCATAACATAAAATTATTTATAAAAAAATTTTATTGTTTAATATTTTTTAAAGGACCTCAAAAACTTCCAAAAATGCAAAAAAGTGAAATATTACTTTAAAATTGTTTACTAATAATTTTATTTAATTTCTCTATGGGATTTTTTATTTTTAACTAAAATATGTATTATAATTTACTTATTTTACTTACTTATTTATTATTAGGTTTATTATCTTAACACAAGAAATACCGAAGAGCCTGCATACCTAGAACTACCACCGGGAAATTTTGTCCCATGATTCATTAATATGTTTTTTTTATTAACATTTACAAGTTAGAAAAATAAAATTATACATGATTTTCATAGGTTAAAAATATATTATTCTCAACATCTAGAGAGATGCAGCAATTATTTTTCGTACTTTTGCAAATTGACGTTTTCAACAAAAATGAAAACTTGACTGTATTTTATTTAATATAATTTTTACAGTTGATTAATAATTTACATTTAAAGCTAACAATTACGCGGAACATAAGTAACAATTAAAATTCTTATATTCGTTAGCTAGATCTGATTAACAATTTTTTTAATTCTAAAATGTTATAAAATTATTTCATTTTTGCAGCTCTCTAAGTATATATTGAGAATAATAATAACAATATTTTGTTTAATAAATTTTTCAAATATTTTTATACTTGATGTATATTTTTATAAAAGTTATAAAAACCAAAAATGGTTTAGACAATTTAAAAAATTTTTATTTATTAATTGTTCCCTCAGTTCCCTCTTTACAGAAATAAGTAATAAAAGTTGAAAAATTATGAAATAACGTTATTCGTCTTGGTCCATTTGAGAATATTTAAACAATGTCAATTACAAATTATTTAAATTTTTTTTAGATGTCATGTAAATACAAACAATAATACTTTTTTGCATTTTTGGTAGTTTTTGAGATCCTTTAAAAAATAGTAAAAAATAAAAATTATATAAATAATGAATTGTATGTTATTCTATGAACATTTTTAAAGAAAAATAGAGTAGGCCAGTCGAAAAATGTTGATTTTATGTCAATATTAACGTTTATATATGGAAAACTCAAATGACGTTAAGTAATTTATTGCTTGGAGGAGAACTTATTTATAGAAATTAATTTATGAATAAATTTATAGTAAAAAACCCATAATATGGGAGCGAAATTAATTCAAAAATAATGTAATTATAAATTATTTATTATATATAAATAACTTTTGATCCGAATTTAAAAAGCCACGAAACCCTAGATGTAGGTACTTTGCGCCTGCTTCTTTTCCTAATTTTTAATGATTCTACAGTAAATCTAAGAAAAAGTGTTTTTTCCCCATACAAAATATTATGTATAAAAATTCATGGGCTTTGAGACACCATTAAATATTTCTTGTTGAATACAAAGATTCGTTGTTAAGGTTTTTATAATAAACTTATTATTTTTAGGTTCTGTTCGTTCTTACAAAATTGTTCAACCAAATGCTGAAAGTACTTCCTTAAAAATAAATTCTGTAAATCAAAATGAAATTAGAGTTTCAGCTGATAAACACTCGTGTTTGTTAGAAAACATTCAAAATGATAAACGTTTTAAATCAAGTAAAAATGCTGAAAGTAATTCAATTGAAGCGTATTCTAATAGACAGGATGAAATTGCAGGAATTTTGACTAATAAACGTTCATATTCATTGGAAAATATGCAAAATGCTGAAAGTTTTAACTCAGGTAACCATGATATTATACTGTAAGTTTTAAATCAATTTATAGAGTTTTTACATAAACAATTAAATATAGCCAATGTAAATTCTGTACTAGTTAATGTAAATGGTTATAAATATTTTTTTTAGATTTGGAATCGTTTGTTGCATCGCCATCAACTCCAAATAATCAAAGAACTCACGATAGAGAAACAACTCCGCAACAAATAGCAAGTTTGAATCATGACCATCAATATAACTCCAGTTCTAAAAGTTTGGTAAAACAATATAATGAAATGCGACAGAAGCTACAGAGGAGTATGACAACGTCAAAAATGCAGAAACAAGTTATTAAGCGCCTGCGCAAGAAAGTCTCTAATCTCAGGGAGATAGTAAGTGAATAACAATTTACTCCGGTTGTTTTAGAAAATAAGCTTTTTGACTTTTCGTATTTTTTACATTATTGCTCTAAGTTTATTTATAATCATTTTTGTTTCAGTTTTGTTCTTTTAGTTTTTTGTGTTGTGGAAAATTCTGTAAATCTATTTTTAACATAAATATTCAATTATTTTCATTTCATAATTCTGCTTTTTTAATTTCTATTCTATTCACATTAACTATGTACTGTTTTTAGTAATAAAAATTTTACGTTTATATTTTCGCAGATATTTCAGGTATCTCCTACCATATTAAAAATTTTTGAAGAAGATAAAAAATATTCTTAATGAAGATTAGGAAGGATTATTTATACATGTATATATTAATAATTATACTATTGTACAGAAAGTACACATCAATAAATTCTACTGTGAGCATCATAAATTTGGGCCTGGAATTTTAAGTTTGAAAAATATCTATTTTGCAGTAGAAAACTGATCGTGCGCTGTTTCAACTGCCTCTTCTTTATTTAATTGATTTGTATAAATATATTTACATAAAAATATATATTATTTTATATAATTTATGCACTTACATTTTCTAATACCCCTCTTTATATAAAATATTAACCCGTAATTATAATCAATCTAAAAAAATTAAAATAGATTAATTTTTGTTTTATGTTGCACAAAAATTGATGACTTACATTTTTTAAGATATGATGAAATAAAAATAAATCTAATATGTTATATTAATAACTTCATTATTCTAATAATGAAACTTCTTAAATTCAATTTTATTGTAAGATTAATTAAATTAAAAATTATTATTTATTTTAAAAATAAAATTTAATCATGCTCAACGAAATATTTTCCATTCTTGCAAATTTTTGTCACCTTTTTCGAAGGTGAGTAAATTAAAGCGCAGTAATTTTTAATTTCTTAGATATAATTTTAAGTACAAAAATACAAGTAGTAAAAGCGACAACTTAAATGAAAATAATTCAAATTATCACCTTTTTTTAGTTTTTAATATGCAAATAATGAAGAACACGCCATTGATAATTTTCGAAGTTCGATTACTGAAAGATATTGTAAAATTTCTTCGATTTCTTCAGAAGAAAATTTAATTTTATAATTCCTTTTAATGAGAAGGAACATACTATCTACGCACATATCGATTAATTCATTTCTTTGTTTACAATTCCTAACACGTATCTCAAAAAAGTCAGCATAAATTGGAAATTTCTCGATCGATAATTCTAAGCTATTTAAAAATCTTTTGTTTCTTATTTTACTTGTAACTTTATTAACAGATTTCATTAGAATATCGTAAAAAGTAACATTTGATTCATCAATAATTTTTGTGTTTTTCATATTTATTATCTATTGTTGACATTCCTCTCGCCAATCGAAGTATATCATGCATAGATTATAAAATGAAATCTTTTTCACCACTTGTTGATCGCAGAGAAGTAACTCTAGTCGCGCAACAATCATTTTAAAAATATTTCTATGTATCTTATAATGCCACGAAATCTTTAAAAGGTAATCGATATCCTCAATTCGATCGATCATATGTACAATTTTCCAATAATTTATGCCCAAAAAATATGTGTTTCTATAATCATAATATTCCATAATAACAAATACAATTTTTGAACTGTAAGATAATGAAAATTTATTTAAGACACAGTTGACTTCATTTTCTGGTAAATAATTAAGCAAGCATCTGATAATTTCAGGATGAAATTCTCTATTCTTGTTGTTTTTCTCGTCATTTACATTCCCTTCGTTTGATACTTCTTTCAAACAAGATGAAGTCTGTTCATCATCGCTAGAAACTATTAATTTAGAGGCATTTACTATTATTTTTTCACAATCACGTATATTAATTTTATTAACTCCGGCGATTAATAACATCTCTGTAATTTTTAACAAATTTTGGAAGATTAATGGAGTAACGCTCGTTTCACTAGCATCGTCTGGTAATCTGTGCAGTGCATAATAAAGTGAAGTCAAACTACTCCCATTTTCCATTGGATCAGCCCCGAAACCTAAAAGAAATTTAACCATATTTGCATGACCTGCAGCTGCTGCAAAATCCAATGGGGTGATTTTTTGTTCATCTGTTTTTGAATTAATGTTGGCACCAAATTTCAAGAGTATATCTACTAATCGTGTATGCTCGAATGTTGCTGCCACATGAAGAGGATTTAATCCAAGAAAACTTCTAATTGAAAAACCCGCTGTTAATAGAATTTTAAGGATTTCTTCGTTTCCATTTTCAACAGCAATATAAACTGCACATCCGCAAGATCTACGATCAGATTTTACTTTACTCGCTTCTTTATTTGCGATTTCCTCAACAATTTCGACTTGACCCGCACGCACAGCTGAATGTAGATCAAAATCGCAAGAACATGTTTCTGCAACTATTGTTGAATTGCATTTTAATAAATATTTCCAAACTTCCAAACTACCAGAGCAAAGTGCTTCTTCAAGTGAAGTTTTACGTCTCATTTTTAAGCCGTTTTCTGTCAAGTATTTTACAATATCTAAAAAATCCTTTTTTATTGCCAAATCCACGGGAGTTTCGCCTTATTCTCTGTTTGCAGCGTGAATTGCATTCGTCATTAACAATGTAACCATTTCCAAATTATTTCTATTTCCAGCACCAACATTTTGTAAAAGAATCTCAACAATTTTAATGTTCCTCAATTGGGTGGCGATATGAAGTGGTGTTTCTCCATATTTATCTGCAATATTTACATCGGCACCATTTTGTAAAAGAATCTCAACAAGATAAATGCATAACTTTACCGAGGGGATTTTAAGTGGTGTATATCCACGTTGATTTACAATATTGACATCGGCACCATTCTGTAACAGAATCTCAACAAGCTGAATGTTCCCCTTTTGAGTGACTGTATTAAGTGATGTTTCTCCTATAGATGTAACAAATTTTCACCTGCATCACTTTGTGAAAGCATCTTAACTAGCTGAATTTTCTACAATTAGAGTAGCGATATTCTAATCTCGAATAAGAATACTTTCTCTACCTCAATTTTCTGTAACAAATAAAATTAAAAAAATTATAATAAACTTTTTTTATAGCAGTATTTCTACACACATATTTATTTCAGTAAAGTTTTTACATCTTTAATGAAAACTACAAACGAATTTATATCAATAATGATATTCTCTCGGATTACACAGGTCTACAAGGATTTTTTTTAGATAGAGTGCTTTCCAATGTATTTTGATGTGCTGAACACGATCCTGGGTTCCAAAATTGCGTATCACGTCAGGATTTTGAGTAAAGTGGGGGGTAAAGTCGGGTGTACTTCCGAAGTAGGGGTACCTCCGATCTTAATGAAACTTGGTATACTAACGTATTTTGGTGCGCTGATTACGAAAATGATAGTGAAAATGGGCGCAAATTTGATTATCATGGTAAAAAACATCATAAAATCATGGTTTTTTGCGATTATCTTGTAAAAAACAAAAAATTTCGAAAAAAGTTTTAGACAAAAATTGTAGATCTCAAAAAAACACAAATTTTATGTTTTATGCATTTTTTACCAAAAGTCATTATTTTTCGAGAAAAATCCAAAAAACGATCAAAAACACCATGATAATGAAAACATATACAACAGTCATGGTTAGACATATTATTTGACTCGTATATAGTATCATATTCACCATTACTCAGGATCCAACGAATTCCGCAAAATACTTTCGGCCATATCCACCCCCTCTCGCCAAGGTACTATTTTGCGTTTACCGCTGCTGTAGACTCCACCCCACAATTCCTGCTAAATACTTTCGGCCATATCCACCCCCTCTCGCTACGGTTTCGCCATGATAATCAAATTTACGCCAATTTTCACTATTATTTTTGTAATCCGCGCGCCAAAATACGTTAGTATTCTTAAAGGCACTCTCACACCTTTTTGACTGCCTGCAGGTTACCATGGCAATGCATGAGAGTGAGTGCGACAAAGGATTTAAAATTTTGAATATTCAAATTTTCTGTCTCACTCACACTCGTGCGTTGCCATGGTAACCTGCAGGCAGGCAGGCAGCAAAAAAGGTGGGTGAGTGCTTTTACAACTTTTTCTCTAGTTACTATTTTTCCATCATTTTGTTGCGTTTTTGATCGTTTTTTGGATTTTTCTCGAAAAATAATGACTTTTGGTAAAAAATGCATAAAACATAAAATGTGTGTTTTTTTGAGATCTACAACTTTTATCTAAAACTTTTTTCGAAATTTTTTGTTTTTTACGAGATAATCGCAAAAAAACATGATTTTATGGTGTTTTTTTTTGTTTTTTACCATGATAATCAAATTTGCGCCAATTTTCACTTTCATTTTCGTAATCAGCGCACCAAAATACGTTAGTATACCAAGTTTTATTAAAATCGGAGGTACCCCTACTTCGGAAGTATATCCCTTTTTAATAGCATGCATACTGGATATTGTTTAATAATGTTGTTAAAATGTAAAATGTGATTAGTAAACAAACACCCCTAACCTCAAAATTTATATTTTATCACGAATTCAGAGAATCTATAAATGCAATTGAATCAAATATATAACAAAATTAATTATCAACACATATTTTAATTTTATTATATGTCAACAAGCGTTTTCCATGTTTAAAGTATGAATAAAATTGATGAAACTGGAAACAGATTTTCTTCCCCAAAAGAATAACATTGTATCGTCTGTTTGTTGTCCCTCCAGGCCTCTGACATCATATCTTGAACTCGAAATATCTCGATGAACTGACACAGCCTAATAGAGCTGTGACTGTACCTTAAACGGTCTTTGCGATATTATTGTGCGGTGACCTGTAGATAGACTTTAACATTTCGGATGTTCTCTTTTACTACTTTGGAAATACATAAAAATAATAAAAATAATTTTTAGTATATTCAAAAGGCTTAAAACAAAAAATAAAATAAGAAGTGACAATGACATCAGAAGAAACAAAAAGTTTGTTTTGTTTTGTTGAAGAGGTAATTGTAAAAAATCTCATATTAATCATTGTATAAGAATAATGATTTGTTTATTTTTTAAGATAAACAAATAAGAGTCCCAAAAAAACAATACAAGAACGCAAATAATTAATTCTATAAACTGACAGTCGGTTTGACATCAATCAACTGTAAAACTAATTATTCTTTCAAATACTAATATATCTGCGACATAAAAATTACACTTCAATAAATTGTAAAATTATAGTGTCGAATAAAAAAACCATTTGGGATGAATGAAAAACATCTTAAAACGTCCTAAAAATGAATGTTTACTTACTTTTTGCATATTATCAAAATTTTCTTTATGTCGCTTCCTTCAAATTTTGTAAAAGGGTCAAACCACTGAAAATCATGTGAGAGTGGTTTCTGGCATATTTTGAAAAAATTTAGTTTTAATATATGTGAAACTAGGTGAATTTCTAAGTTCATTGATCTTAATATTGTCGTATAAATTTTATTTCGTTTTAAATTATAATTTATTAAAAGTAGGAGGTTCACGTTGCCATTTCGTAACCTTAAATGTTGCACTTTTTTTGGAAACATTATTCAAAAACTATAAAGTATTAGATATCATTATTTACCAAAAACATAAATTAATTTATTCTATACATCAAAAAATGATGGAATTATTATATAATTATTTTATTGTTAGATATTAATTCGAATTTGAAAATTTATTCAGTAAAAAAAGTTAACAATTTTTTGAAGCTTGTAACTTTTTTCTGGAAGCTTCAAAATATTTAGGGTTTCGCACATATTTTAATACTGATATAATTTACCTGCTATGAATATTTGATGAGGGTATTTTGTTTCGTTTCAAAATTAATACTTTTTTTTGGTATTCTATGTAAATCTTTATTTCAATTATTTAATAAATTTTAATGTAAAATTAATTATTTTCAATAATTTTAATGAAATTCTTCACAAAAATTTCAAATTATAAAAAGAAAATTAGCAAATAAATTTATCAAATATTTCAATTCAAAATCACTTGAAATTCAATTAATTTCAAAAATTTCAACTTAAAACCTTCTAAAAATTGTCATCTAAAACTTTCTGAATGATTTTTATAAAATTCTTCAAAAATTCAATTATCTGACAACATTTTTCAATTTTAATTTTATTTATTTTATTATTTTATTTTCAAATTTTTAAAGTTCTATTTTTTAGGTTCCGTACTCGGTTCGGAACCCTATTAATATCGGTTTTTTTTAAATCGTGTACCCCCCCCCCCTCTAGCGGCCACACGAATTTATCTGAAGAGATGATATTGGCACACATATGTATTTTCGCGTGTAGATTACAGGAAAAATATAGCGAACTTGATTCGGATCAATTTACATAGCATTGTCAAGGAAAAATAAAAAATTTCGAAAAAAATGATTTATTCTCCCTAGCGCACACAATATTCAACTCAGACTGTTCATATTTGCTGTATAAATGTATTTTTGCGTGAAAATTACAGGGAAAGAATTTAAGCACGATTGGAGTTGACGATCAATTTTTATCAAATTTTTAAAGAAAAATGATAATTTTAAGGAAAAAATGTATTTTTCCGCAAAAAACGAAAAAAGTTTATCTAAAGTGATTCAAATTTATATATTTTGACGTATTTTTACGCGTAGATTACAAAAAATATAGCGAGGATGATTGGAGTTGATTTTTCTGATGCTGTCAAGAAAAAACTAATAATTTTAGAAAAAATCATGAATTTTCTCCCAATAACGAAAATAATTTTATCTAAAGGGCTTCAAATTTATTATTTTCACGTATTTTTATGTGTAGATTATAGAAATAATTTAGTAAACATGATAAGAAGTGGAAAAAGTGGACTTTTTCCTTGAGTTTATTTCTTCAGTCGTTATAAATCTAAAATAAAAAAAATCGGAAAAGTGCGAGTTACACTCGCACTGAAATCGAGGTTTCCGTACTCGAAGCGAACTTATTTTGGTATAAAAACAAATGTTTAAAAAATATGTGTTGTATGTCAAATAATATAAGTGATACAAAAAGGAACAATTTATTTGACATACAACACATATTTTCTTAAAAATTTTTTTTTTTAATTGTTCCTTTTTGTATTACTTACATTATTAGACATATACAACACATATTTTTTAAACATTTGTTTTTATACGAAATAAGTTCGCTTCGAGTACGGAACCCTCCGATTTTTTTCTGTAATTTCTAATAAATTCTTCAGCAACAGAAATCAGGGGCCGTCCATAAACTACGTTACCAATTTTTCATTCTTTTTAGACCCCCTCTCCCCTCTCGTTACCATTGCGTTAAAATTCATTTTTTTTAGACTTTTTGACCCCCTCCCCCCTAAAATAGGTAACGTAGTTTATGGACGGCCCCTCACCAAAAATTACAATTAAAAATCACTTGAAGTTCAATTATTATTTTCAAAAATCTAAATTGTAAATCTTTGAAAATTCAAGTATTTTTAATAATTTTAATATTTATTTAAGAATTCAATTATTTCAAAAATTTTAAAATGAAAACTTTAAAACTGAATTGTTGTCAGAAAAAAAACTACAGCAGTTTAAATTTGTAGAAAATTTATTTCGAATTTAATATCTTCTGCATTTCTACATATATCTAGGGAAGAGTGGGGAGTTCTGCTCCAGGTTTTGTTTTTCGATCGAAACTATTACATAAATTTTTTTTTACTATTCTATTATATAGAACTTTTAGTACACGTACAAACAAAACTTTTGGCATGATCGATTAATTAAAATTCAAAACGGAAATAGAAATTTTGCTTGTTTTTCGAAAATACTGGTTTTATGACTTTTCAAAAACAGTGGGGAGCTGTGCTCCACCGTTGAAAATTGAAGAGAAAGACATTTTTTTTAAAATACTCTTTATTTAAATTCTGAAATGTAAAAAAGTAAGATAACTTACATAAAATACAGTAATAGATAGGATAATAAAAGATTAATTTTAGATAATTTAGATACAATTAAATTATTTTAAAAATAATTCAATCAAACTAGGTAATTAATTTCATTTACAGTGAATACAGATGTAAAAAGTCTCATTTCACTAAAAAACAATATTTAAATTGCATAAAACATTCTCGTGTAGAAATTGACATATTTGGCCCAAAGATGGCTTGAAACGCCTCACCCAATATGGGCCAGACCTGGGAAGCGTCAAAATGTGGCTTCATCTTGTGGCCCAAATCGGGTAAGGCGTTTCATGCCAATTTTATGAACGCCCGATTTGGCCCAGGTTTGGACTATGACAAAATTTCTACCCGGGATTCTAATTATTCATAAATAATGCAAAATAAAAATAAAGAGTGCGTATTAGGATTAAAAACTGTTAAATATAATGTGAGGCACAACTCCCCACTAACGCTGGAGCACAACTCCCCATTTTCTACATTTTCAAAATAGTCATTGAATAATTAATACATCGAATGTTTATGCGAATTTTTTTTATACGTCGAAAGTTATTAATGACAGCTAATTCTTATGCATTAAACATTGTGATCACTTTGAAAAAATTAGTGGAAATGACCTAAATATAAAGAGACAAAAACTTTTAGAAAAAAAATTTTAATTCACTATCTGTAAGGACACGAAAAATCCTTTCAAAGATGACGAGTACCACTTAAAAAGTTAGTTCTTAACGAGAAAAGAATATGCCTTAAATAAAAATTTTGTAAAAAAAATGTTTTAAATAATATAAAAACTTAATTTAGTATTAATTATGTCATTAAAAAATTTAGCTAAATAATTCGTACAAATGAAAATTCACTTAAACATAAATTCCATCTAATGAGATTTTCTTGAAACTGAAATTTTGATATATAAAAATTCTTTTGATTGAATAATTTAACATTTGAAATATTTGTTAAATAACATAACATTACATAACTTTTATACACGCCAAATGCATATTTTCAAATTATGTTCATTTTATTATGTTTGTGTATCCTTACAGTTATTTTTGCCATTTGGGCCACCTCCTATATTAGCCGATATTAAAAGTGAATTGAAAGAATTTATTGAATATCCTGATAATCTTCCGATTTATAATATCGATAATGCACAATGCTATTGGCCAAGAAAACCAGATATTTTGGCTTTATTAAATGCCGATTTGGCACCAGTTGGAACATGTATTAAGTTCAAGAGAGATCCAATTACTGGAAAAATTGGAGATATGTTAGAAGTTAATGTTCAAGGAACTGGTGAAACTGCTAGAAATTCCATGTCCATGACAAGAGCACCTGGACCTCCAGCGGAAGGTGTTAGAGGTACTTAATCTCTTTAATTTATATATTCACCCCCTAGAGGGATTTAGCTTACTGTGATACACTATTAGATTAGATAGATTATTATCAAACATAAAGTTGGATTTAAATTTTTACATAATTATATATCATTCTTAAATTCAGAAAATGCATTTAGAATGTAATTGCTTTTAAACATTAATAGATACCGTTGTTATTGCTATACGCTATATTGGAAAAATTTTCATCATACTATTTGACCCAGCCTTACACAAATAATTTGTAAAACTGTTTATGTGTTCAAGAAGTTATTTAGGTTGTAAAGATTTTATTAAAAGATGATTTTTATATCAGGCAACACAAGCAATTTCTTATTTTGGCCTGGTGGTTTCGATGAAGCCAAAATTCCTGAAGAGTCTGAATTAACCAATGTTCACTTTGAAACTAATCTTCGAACCTTAGCTAAAGGTTTTAAATGTGGCATGGATTTTGAGCCTGACAATTTTACTCCAAAGAATGTTCAATCTGGAGATGTTTCTCAAATGCGCATTCATGAATCTTTTGAAAAAGAGAACAATTTAGATTTAATGTTAATCGTTGATGAAGAAGCTAATTCCCTGGATTTTTTGGCTAAACCCATATTACAAAGTAAACCAGATGTTAAATGTGAAGAAAAACTTGAAACTGACATTGAAAATATGTTACTTTCGATAGACACAATTACTGAATCAGTCTCAGAATCTAAAATTCCTGTATTAAAAATTACTGAAGAGGGAAAAAGTTTCTTACATGCAGAATGGGCTGAGCAATTAGATGTGACAGTAACCGTTACAGATTTTGAAAAAAGAGTTCCAAACCCAGCTATTAATTTTAAATATGAATTAGATAACTTTCAAAAACAAGCTATTATCAAATTGGAAGAGGACTGTAATGTTTTTGTTGCTGCTCATACATCTGCTGGTAAGACGACTGTCGCGGAATATGCAATTGCATTAAGTCAAAGGCATATGACTAGGTAAATTTTACATTTTAAGAGTAATTTACTTATAATATAGATAATTTTCAAACCCACTAACTTTAACCAATTAAATGCTTTAATAAAATGTTATTTTCTTCAGGACTATTTACACTTCACCTATAAAAGCATTATCGAATCAAAAGTTTCGCGAATTCAAAGAAAAATTTGATAGTGTTGGACTTATCACTGGAGATTTACAGATAAATCAAACAGCTTCATGTCTTATAATGACTACAGAAATTTTACAGTCAATGTTATATTGCGCCTCTGAAGTTCTCAGAGACTTGGAATACGTTATTTTTGATGAAGTGCATTATATAAATAACGAGGATGTACGTGAGTTTTCACTTCTCTTTTGAGCACTAAGGGGAGTTTGGGTGGGTTGAAAAATGAATGTTTTTTTTTTCAAAACTAACACATCTAGTATATATACAACATAATACACCCAATATGGTCAAAGGAACCTTTCATTGATTTTTTTAGTCCTGTAAAATCTAAGAAAAATTTAAACTTAATTTATTCTAAGTATTTAACATCAAAATATCGGTAATAGGTAATATAAATATTTACCATGATTGCAATTCTGCAGAGAGGGCATGTTTGGGAGGAAATTGTGATTCTACTACCTCGGACTGTAAATATTGTTATGTTGTCTGCAACCGTACCTAATCCTCTAAAATTCGCCAACTGGGTTGGTCAGATAAAGAAAAGGAAGATGTACGTGATCAGTACAGTGAAAAGACCAGTGCCATTGCAACATTATTTATATATAGGAAGCAATATGAAAACGAAAGACAGTTGTTACCTAATTCTTGACACCGATGGTCAATTTTCTATGGAAGAGTACGTTGGAATTGGAAATTTTCTCTTTTATTAATTAACTATAAAATTCCATTTTAAGAATATGATAATTTTTAGTTGGCGACAGGCGAACGCGCAACGACAGCGTGAACTTAAACTGAGTTTAGACAAGAAAGGTACGAAAAAATTCAAAGAAAGCAAGAAACAGAATAAGATTTCAATTGAGCCAGATGTGACATCGCAGGACAGTGAACAAACTGAAGAAATAAAACCTTCAATGATTTCGTCAAAGGAACGAGCAACGTGGATTGCTTTTCTTAAATACCTACAACAAGAGGCAAGTAAATCGTTACCTATTTTGATGTTTTTAGTAACATAAATCGTCATTTATTTAAAAGTAGTTTTTTCTAAATGAAAATAATTAAGTTTAAATATATTTTGTTAGGATAAATTGCCAGTTGTTGTTTTCGCACTTTCCCGAAGTCGATGTGACAAAACAGCAGATTCTTTGCAACATCAAAACGTGTCATTGATCACGAATAATGAAAAGGATAATGTAACTGATTTCTTTAAGAAATCAATTAAAAGGCTAAAAGGTTCAGATGCACAGTTGCCTCAAGTTCGAAGAATGCAAATACTTTTAGAACATGGAATTGGTATTCATCACAGTGGAATTTTACCTATTTTGAAAGAAATTGTTGAGTTATTATTTCAACAAGGGTTAGTAAAGGTATAATTAATATGTTTCTATATAAAAACTGTTGTAATTGTATAAAAATTTCTTAATTATTTTATAAATTCAGATGCTCTTTGCCACTGAAACGTTCGCCATGGGCGTTAACATGCCAGCAAGAACAGTTGTTTTCGATGCTGTTAGAAAATATGATGGTTCTAAATTTCGTGCACTTCATCCTACTGAGTATATTCAAATGGCTGGAAGAGCTGGACGAAGGGGTCACGATACCACGGGAACCGTTATGTTGTTGTGCAAAGGAGAGGTTCCAAATTTCATTGACTTGCAAGCAATGATGTGCGGCGAACCGCAGAGTTTGGAGTCCCAGTTCAAGATAACATACTCGATGGTTTTACATTTGAGAAGACTCAGCGAAACGGTCTCAGTGAGAGATATGATGCGTAGATCTTTCAAAGAAGCAAGTACACTGGTAAGAGAAAAGCAGGTGAAAGCCGACTTGCAAGAGATTGAAGAAACCTTGGCAAAAACACCGGCCCTATCTGCGAATCAGGAAATGTTGGCAGAGTTTTATGAAATTGCTATAGATTATTTGCGAATTTGGAAGAAACTTCGACCCGAGATGCTTGCTGCGAAAAAGGCATCGAAGAACCTTTCGGAAGGTCGTATTTTGCTTGTGTCGTATAAAAATCACTACAACAAACTTGCCCTCTTGCTTGACAAAAGAAAACAGAATGACAATATTATGTACAAAGTATTGATACTTAAAGATAATGAGGAAATGTGTGATGAAGATAAACCTGAGAACTGGTATAGAATAATAGCTCTCACAAAGAAACAGTTATACTCTGTGAATCAAATGCCTTCGCACGAAGTTCTCCTGATAGACGAGTCAAGTATTTTGGAAATCACTAATTGCACTATTAAAACTGACTATCGCTGTGTGATAGCAGATTGGGAAAAACGACAAATTCCAAGATTCAAGTAAGTTATGAAGTTTCTTTTTTAAAAGAAATTATACTTTTATCGTTCAAGAGAACACGATGAAATTGCAGTTTTAAGGGGCTATATCAGTGTGACGGTAGGAAAATAAGATGTTTTTTGGGTTTTTTTTTTAAAGAAAAGTTTTCTATCGAATGTTTTTAAACTTTGCCAATATATTTTACTACAAATCAAGAATAAAAAAATTTTTAAGCTATGTTGCAATTCTCCTAAATTCGACAAAGCTTTATTCAACTTTCAAACTCTCCATTCGTACTAATTTAATGAACAAACTTATGAGCTTTAATCTTTTTCAATTCGTCAGCACAAATTCAATAGGTCATTTTATTTGAATTCTCAACCACTGAAAACTTATTGATACGAATTGAATTGAATATACAAAGGGCTTCACTAAATCTTGCATAGCGACAAATACGAATTGGACCTTGCCAAAAAAGTTAATTCATTTCAATTCATCTGAATTAGTTTTTTTTATTGGGCTGTCTTGTAAGGCTCCTAAAAAAAGTCCTGCCACGATTCCAGTCGATCCAGTGATTGAAATAAAATATCCATTTTTGCTTAAAAAACTATCCGTTTTTTTAAATGCCAAATTCACATTTTTTATCCAATCAAAAATATCCTATTTTATTTTATAGATTAATATGTCTAAAATATTGTGTTCAAATTGCAAGTCAATCGAACAATTGCTATTTCTAGCCCATATAATAAACCCCCCTGTTCCATAAAAAGTGTACTCACGATTTTCAAAGAATGACGCTAACAAAAACATAGACATGGATATTTCGCTCCCCTACTCCAGGCGGCCAAAGGCTCAATTTTGGTTGCCAATTCAAAACTATTTGAGATTCAGTTTTGGAACATAAATATGATATTTTTGAAGGTGTAAACTTTCAAAAAATGTGAAAAAAAGAAATTGATTTTTTGAAAGTGTCACGCTGGTATAGCCCCTTAAAAGAAATTTAAATTAATTTTGCTTCAAATTTACTTCACGAACTGCGGACACATTTTGGAAGTGAAAAATAACTAAATTGTGGGAATCTGTATAAGAAAAGTTTTAACTTTATGATTAGGAAATCCATCATTTTGTTATGGGCCATCCATAAATTAAGTAATAGATTTTGGGGGAAAGGTGGAAGGATTGAAAAAATTTTAGCGTTTGTTACATTGGGAGGGGAAGTCAATTGTCATTTTTACGTAATACTTTAAACAAACTGAAACTTTCTATAATATAATTAATAACATTTGAAAAAAACCTAATATTTATGAATTAAAGCTTATGTGACAGGGTATTAAATTCAGAAGGACATATGGTCCAAAAATAACATTTCGAGAAAAACAACTTTGAAGTTAACAAGTGGAATTTTTGTAAAAACATATTAGACCGAATTCATTTCAAATCAGACAGGCTTGACTTGGTCGGAGCTGAAAATAATTTTCACCTTCAAAATGTTGTTCTTCAATGAATTTTAGACGACACGTATTTTTTTATTTTGCTGAAAAAAATTTTTTCTTTAAGTTATAAGGAGTTCAAATATATAAGTCGAGAACTTCGTTTTTTTTAAAATGAAGAGAAAAAATCTTAATAGTGATGTAACTTTTTGAGTAATTAAGATAATTCACTTTTTCGTTTTGTATCTGAAAGGACTTTTATTCTTCTTTCGAAATCCATTGGAAAATTTAAAAAATATTTAAAAATAACAAAATGGCGGCCATTTTACTAAAAAACTTTAATTTGAAATTACTCAAAAACCCCACCTTTTTTTTTGCTCAAAATTTTTTTGGGAATTGTGTTCATAGGGAGGAATATTGCCCACAGGAATTTAACTTGTGCCCGATTCTGGCCCAAGAGAAAAAATTTTTTTTATATTTTTTAAAAGAAAAAAATCATTTTTCTCAAAAAATACATTAGATATAAAAAAATGTCTCAGATAAAAGTTGTTCCTCGTTAAAAGACCTAAAAGACCTTTTCATATTTAAAAATAATAATAGTGACATTACAATACAAAAATTATATAAACATACCTTATTTTGCTTTTTAAAAAATAATAACTGATTCTTTAATTTCTTAATATTATTAATAGCTATTATTTTACTGAACACAAAAAATTAACAATTTTAACCTCTGTGACAGTAAAGATTATTAATTATTATTTGATTGTTGCTATGGAAAAAGACAAAAAAGAACTATTTCAAACAGATTTATGAAACTATTTTAAATGATATTTAAAAAGCAATAAATGTGAGCTTTTAATCCATGTTTTGCAAATATTGTTGAACAAACACAATATGGACAAAAATGACAACAGACATTTTTTTAGGACTTTTAACGAGGAACAACTTTTATCTGAGACATTTTTTTATATCTAGTGTATTTTTTGAGAAAAATGTTGTTTTTCTTTTAAAAAATATTAAAAAAATTTTTTCTCTTGTGCCAGAATCGGGCACAAGTTAAATTCTTGTGGGCAATATTCCTCCCTATGAACACAATACCCAAAAAAATTTTGAGCAAAAAAAAAGGTGGGGTTTTTGAGTAATTTCAAATTAAAGTTTTTTAGTAAAATGGCCGCCATTTTGTTATTTTTAAATATTTTTTAAATTTTCCAATGGATTTCGAAAGAAGAATAAAAGTCCTTTCAGACACAAAAGGAAAAAGTGAATTATCTTAATTACTCAAAAAGTTACAACACTTTTAAGATTTTTTCTCTTCATTTCAAACAAAACGAAGTTCTCGACTTATATATTTGAACTCCTTATAAGTTATAACTTAAAGAAAAAATTTTTTTCAGCAAAATAAAAAAATACGTGTCGTCTAAAATTCATTGAAGAACAACATTTTGAAGGTGAAAATTATTTTCAGCTCCGACCAAGTCAAGCCTGTCTGATTTGAAATGAATTCGGTCAATTAAATAATTTTTCAGAGACTGTTCTCCTGGTCCAACGTTTAGTGCAGTTGTTCAAGAATTATTGGAATTATCTCAAAGTGCTGTATCAAATCCAGAAGTCTTATTGCCGCACACAGAAATGATAATAAATAAGATAGATCTAAAGCCAGAAGAAAAGAAGCTTAATAATTTGAAACGTATTATTAATTCTAGTTCCGTTACTCAAGTTAACAATTTTGAACAACAATTCGGTGATGCTTTTTATAGAAAGGAACTTGAGGAGAAGAAAAAGGAATTAATGATTAAATTAAGTGACGAGCAATTAAGAGACTATCCAGATTATATAAATCGAGTTAATATTTTAAAGGAACTTGGCTATATCGATCAAAATGAAAGAGGTTTATATTTATTTTAAGTATCTAATCATGCCCATTATACATGATATTCGTTAACTTCAATGCTTTTAAAGGATTACAGCAATAAAAATTAATTTCACAAAAAAATTACAAAAAAAACTTTAACTGCTTATTTTAAAATTTTATAGAACAGATAAATTTTGGTATCGGTCTGTAGCTTACAACTTTAATATAATACACAGGTCGACAAAATTTTGTTGACTAAAATATGACAACCGATTCATATATGATTTTTTTTCTAGTCACATTGAAAGGAAGAGTAGCACTCGAAATGGGAATGTATGAATTATTTTTAACCGAACTGGTGTTTAAAAATATCCTTACTGATTGGAGTCCAGCTGAAATTGCAGCTTTACTTTCATCTTTAGTTTTCCAACAACGCACAGAAGAATCTGACAAGAATCTCAGTACAAGGCTAAAAGATGTAAGATTATTTCCTATTGTTGAGAGACAATAAGGAGTAAATCAATTTTTTTTAATTATTCAATATTTTTACAGTTGCAAAAAATAGTGTCAGATGAGTACGAAATCTTAAAAGCGAAGGAAGTGAAGTATAACTTAACACCGGCTCCACCTCTTAATTTTGGCCTCGTAAAAGTTGTATACCAATGGGCTCGAGCAGAATCATTTGCCAGTATTATGAATTTAACTGACGTCCAAGAGGGTATTATCGTCAGATGCATTCAACAACTGAATGAGACTCTTCGCGACGTAAAGAACGCTGCTATCATTATAGGAAATCCAATTTTGAAAGAAAAAATGGACGAAGCGTCGAGTGCCATTAAACGAGACATTGTTTTCACAGCTTCACTTTATACCCAAGATTGAGAAGTTATATTTATTTGTTTAATAGTTACGGAATTTCATTGAAAATGAAAACTTATTATTTCTTTTGTTTGTAAAACAAACTTGTAATTTTTCAATTCAATCTTGTTGAATACGAAAATTTTTTTTTTTTCATATGAAGTTGTATCATTCAACTTTAAATTCAAAAAACATATTTTTCACATAATTAATCAGTATTTTTATTTACGCCTTTTAACCTCATCTCACAAAAATTTTAATTACAAAATCATGACATAAATAACTATAAACTCTTTGAAAAATTAAAATATTATTATAAAGTATTCTTAGAATTCTCCGTTGCTTATATAATCTTGGAAACTAAATTTAAATTATTCAAAGAACGCGCTGATCAGAATTGTTGAGATTGCCTTGACCTTTATTTAATTCAGAAATGCAGGCCCATTGTCCTTCGGAGTTTTCTCTCCATAGAGAAACTTTGTTGTCACCACCACTGACTGCCAAAATTCCTCCAGTTAGAGACCAGCTAACATTCCAAATAACGTCGTCGAACACATTAAGGACATTAGGTGTCCAACTAGCGTAATCAGTTGATGTCCAAACGACAACGCGACGATCCTGCGAACAAGAAGCTAGAGCTGCTCTTGATGGCCCTACAGCTGGTGCCCATGCGACGTCTCTTACCTTTCAACACAAACATTTCAATCTGTTTCACAATCCACAAAAATGACTATTTTAAAAGCAATAATGATTATTTTTCACCGTTATTAGAGTAATTTCCTAATTTAGGAAAAATAGAATTTCAGTTTGATTTCATTTAACACTTTTTAAAAGTTCAAGTAACACTTTATATCGTACTAATGTCAAATTTTAGTTTTGCATACGAGTAAATTAAAAATAAATTCTATTTTTAAAAATATTAATCGTAATGAAATAGTATTTCAATAGCCAAAAATTTAAACTTAAAATTATTATAAATTATTTTCAAAAAAATTAAAAATGAATAAGTATTAAAAATAAAATAATATGAAGAATTGAGTTTAAATTAAAGGAAATATAATTTCGGAAACTATAGAAAGAGAGAAGATTTCTGTCTCTTAATTCTGAACAGTATTGAACCGATAAGAGTTTTCTTTTATATATTAATATAAGGAAATTTTTCAGAAATACTAACTCTCCAAAGTTAAGTCTCTTAAGTTTAGAATACTGATTGTCAGAAGTCTTCTTTAAGATTTCTACCAACACGATCAGTTTTTCTGAATAAAAGAGATTAAAAAGATTCAATCGTAAAAAAATAATTTAAAATTATTTTACTTGAAGAAAGACAATTGTTAGGAGCTATCTGATGATTTCTACCAACACAATTAGTTTTCTGAAAGTAGTAATAAAAAAATTACTTTGCTGAGGATAATCAATTGTCAAGAGCTTTCTAACGATTTCTACCAACACGATTAATTTTTCAAGAGTGATATCAAAGACAAAATCATAATTCTAGTTTAATATTCTTATGAGCCATTTCTATTGCAACAGGAAATGCACGTGACAATTTGAAAGATTAAACAAAAGAAATAATCCCAACAAACCCAAAAATTTATTTAATTCAGGATTAAAAGAGAAAGAAGAGAATTCACAATCATTTATTTAAATAACAAAAGCTATATTGTCAGATTAATTGTTCATATTAAAATCATAAAAAATATAATTCTTTTATTTATTGTTATTTCCTATTAGCATCAAATTCTTCTAAACGATTAACAATCAATTGTTTAAACAAGTAGGAGAATTTTGAAAAGTTAATAACAAAAAGCTAAAAAACTAAACAATTATTGGAAAAATTACTCTAATTTAGTTTGAAAAGTGACAAATATTTAAAAAATAAAAGATATGAAAATAAAGATACAATAAGAATAAGTAAAAGAAATCAATAAGAAATTTCATTCATAAATTTCTACAATATTTTGACAATCTTATCTGATGATATTCCCACGCGTTTCATTATATTTAATAATTAAATTAAGAATACAATGTCCCTTTAAATTTTGACAATAACTATTATTCCTTTTGTTGGAAAATTTATACTATTTGGGTGATAATTACCAAAATATTTTTGTTTATGGTCATTCAACTTTATGAGTTTGAACTCGTTTGCTTCTCAGAATCGATGTGTTTTATTTTCGATGCTTCAAACAAATTAACTTTTTTATACTTCTGTGAAGCAATATAAATTTTTTACACTAGTTTTCTAAGATAAAAAATATTTTCAACCATTTTGAAGGATACCACGGAACAAAATTTCATTTTATTTAAATTATTTATTAAATTTTTAATTTTCTATTGTTAATCCTCTTAATGCAACTTTAAATCATAAAAAGATTTATTAATACTTACTGCAATAAAAGTTAATATTTAAATTAAAAAAGTTACTTAAACTTCAATTTGTGTAATATTTTTTGACATTTTTGAAGAAATTAGTGATAGAACCCTTTTACTCTCAAAATAAAAAACTTAATTTGTTTTAATTAATTTTCTTTCGAAATATTGCAATTAATATGATTATTATACCTTTTATTATTGAATACAGAATTTCCTACTGTATCATTATATCAAAAAATTGAAAATATGCAATTTTTGAGATAGTATGGTATAAAGAGTTACTTTAAGATAGAACATTATAAAGCATTAACCGAAGGTAGCACGGTATTAGCCTTGACTGTGAGATAGTACAGTATCACATTCAGGTATCGAGATAATTTGAAATTTAAAAAACAACTAATTAAGTAGTTTCTGTATAAATAATGAAAAAGCATTTTACCCAGTCACTGTGTGCTTCTAATTTATTCTCCTCGACCCACTTGTCCCCTTCTTCTTTCCAGATTTTTACTAAATTATCGCAACCACCAGTTGCAAGTCTCTTAACGAGGGGATTTCTTTGATGAACAGTTGTAGCATCAAATGCAGGTTCAATTGCTGGACACCAACTGACAGCATTGCAACCAATTGTATGAGCATTTGCTAATTTTTGGGTGTCCCAAGTGTCACCGTTATTTGTCAAAATAGAAATAGACCCATCTGAGCTGCCACATGCAAGGATTAGTCCGAATTCATGTGGTGCCCAAGCTATTGAATTTACAGACGAATCATGACTTGTATGTTCGTAGATTTTTGTCCACTCACCGAGCTCCTTCCATATAATTACTTTTCTAAAAATATGAACACAAAAGAAAATAATAAGCATCTCAGTAATATGCAACAATTTTTATTTAACTTTATTCATCATTTAAGAAATTTTCGATGAACAGAATTATAATTAACCCCTAATTTCCATTTGAAATAATTCTGACTGAGTCGAATTTTTAAATGTCAGAATTCATATTTCATCGAAACTTCGTTTGACAGAATTTTTATTTCCACGAATTGTCATTTGATAGAAAATTTGAAAACACCAAATTTTCATTTGACCTCAAATTACAAATAGCCGAACAAATAACCGACAGAAAAGTTTTGACGGAAATTTCAAAATTAATCAAACACAATTTTCTTGATTATTTCTGATTGGTTAATTTTGAAATTCGCGCTAAAACTTTTGTCGGATATTTGTTCGGCCATTTGCAATTTCGGTCAAATGAAAATAATGGTGATTTGATAATTCTCTCAAATAATAACAATTCGTACAAATAAAGTTTCAATGAAATAGAAATTCTGCTATTTAAAAATTTGACTATGTAGGAATTCTATTAATCAGGCCTCGGATCGACTTTAAGGCACAAAAAAAGTCGTTTTAGACGATTTATATTCCAAAAAAAGTCGATTTTTTTTATTTTAAAAAAATTTGATTGGTTAAAATTATTAAATATTATAAATTCATTTTATTAACTCTTGTAATGAGAATAATTCTATAAAAATATTATCAAGAAAATTTATTTCGAATATTTCAGAATCGAACTAATTGTAAGAATAATTTTCAAAATTTTATTTAAGTAGGACAAATTTGTAAAAAAAAATTTTTAAAGTTCCATTTTTATAATTTTTTGTAGTCTGATTTAAGCAATTTATTCGAATTAAAAATTTTGTCACAATTTTTAGTTTTGATGGTAAAAAAAAATTTTAGGCAATACTTAATCAAATTTTACAGATTTTTAAATAAATTTTTTTTTAAAAATTCTAATAATTTTGGAAGAGTTAAAGTTGAAATTTTAATAAAAAATTAAATTTCAAAAGATTTTGTTAATTTTTAGATAATAATTAAATTTTACAGAATTTTTGATATATTTGTTACCAAAATTTTTTTCAAAAATTGCACACAAAAATATAATAATTTAAAAACTTTTTAAGCGAAAAATGGTTTTAGATAGTTGAATTTTCAAAGAATATTATAAAAATCATTAAAAATAATTAAAATTTTTGCAAATAATTAAATTTCAAGTGATTTTGAATTAAAATTTTTTGATAATTTTAATAGCTAATTTTTTTAAAATTATTATTTATTAAAAATTATTAAATTTCACAAATATATATTTATCTCCAAACTTCGCAATTTAATCTTAGAAATAAATTAGTTTACTGTAGCACTGTTGAAAAAAAAAATTACGTAATTACCTATATTACACTGAAAAAAAATTTCTTTCTTTCAAATACTTCAAATTATTTGAAAAATATTTAATTGGTTCAAATACTTTTTATTTGGATAAAAAAAATATGTATTTGATTCAAATAACTTGAATTATTTGAATCGCATTTATTTGAACCAAATAAATCGTATTTGGTTCCTTTAAATAATTAATTGAATTAAATAAATGAATTTATTTAATATAAATAATGAGTTACTTAAAACAATTCATTCATATATTTAACTCAAATATTTCGTTTATTTGATACAAATAAAAAGTATTTGACACAATAAATTTATGTAATTGATTCAAATAAACTGAATTATTTAATACAAATAATTAATTATTTAATCCTACTACACTATTTCATCAAGACAAATAAAAAAATATTTTGATCAATTAAATGTTTATTTGAAACGAAAATAATGAGTGCAAATATTAATCTATTTATTTCACTTAAATATTTCATTTTTTTGATACAAATAAAAAGTATTTGATACAATAAATTTATTAATTCTAATTAATTAAATTATTTAATATAAATAATGCGTTATTTAATGTTAAAACACTATTTTATTAAAGGAAAATTAAATATTTTGACCAATTAAATATTTAAGTGTAATGAGAATAATGAGTTATTTGATACTATTCATTTATTTATATATATTATTTAATATTCTAAGTCCAAAAGTCAAATATTTTTTCATCAACAAAAAATTAATGTTTACAATGATTCAGCACACCGAAAAACGCGTTTTTAATAAAAATATATTTACACTTTTTTTTTGAAAATTCACCTGGAATGATTCATGATAATAATCATGAAGCTTATAATTAATTATATTTTATTAATTGCATTTAATTGGAAAATATAATTTAATATCTTAATTTTAACTCAATGATGTTAAGCACTTTTCTGAGTTAGATCTTTTGCAAATTTAAATGACATCAAGAAGTTAACATTCGTTTTCACGTAGCGTGCGTAGCGTAGTTGGTAAAGCGTTAGACTCATAATCCGTAGGCCGTAGGTTCGATTCCCCCCATGCGTTAGATTTATTTATTTCTCAGGTTTACGTTTAATAATTAATTCTATGTCAGAATTAGTTGAAAAATGAAAATATGCGATCATAGTATGCAGAAATTACATATTTTTTAATTTATTTATTTGAGTAAGATTTTAATTTAGAAATGGAAGAATTAGTAAATAAATATGTTATTTATTCAATTCAAATTTTGATTTATTTGAATCAAAAAATTCTTACATTTTATGCAAATAAATTATGTATTTGGATCAAATAAAATAATAATTGCCGCATAATTAAAGAGGTTTTAGTTTGAATTAAAACAATTACTTATGACAAATACTTAATCGAATATTTGATTGAAGAAAATTTTTAGTTGTTTCAAGAAAAATATTTTATTAATGCAAATAAATATTTATTTGAATCAAAAAACATGCTGTATTGAATGAAATAATTTTCATAATTGATTTAAATAATTATTTATTAGCTTTGAATATTCCATTTATTTGATTTGAATATTTTGTATTTGATTCAAATAACTATTTATTTGATACGATAAAATAAAATACTTAGGTTTAGTAAATGTGTATTTGGTTCAAATACATATTTATTGGATAATAGACAAGTAAATTATGTATTTGGATCAAATACTTTTTATTTGATCCAAATAAATTTTTTTTCAGTGTAATCTAAAGGGCTCTTGCCCGTATATGTATTCTAAATAAATAAGAATTCCATTTCCGAAGAATTTCATTAAAATTATTAAAAATAATTAATTTAGTGAAAAAATTCAGTTAAAAAGTTGTTAAATAAATGAAATAAAGAAGATCTGCATTGTATACTAAAATAAACGTATTTTGTTTAAAAATGTTGTAAAAAAAAGTCGAAAAAGTCGCATTTTATTAAATAAGTCGAAAAAGTATAATCCAAGTCAAAATTCTGTTAAGTAGATATTTTTCTAAATAAAAATTAGATTAAAAAACAATTATGTTAAATTAAAATTTTTTATGACCCCTTAAATTGTTATTTCTCTTGTTTTTAATGACATTTAAAGTAATGAAATTCATTAAAAAAAAACAATTAGAAGCTTGTATTCATTTAATATAATTTTTTTTTAAAATACTTTAAACAAATTTTCTTCTATATAAAAATGTGTCGTATAAGTTTCTGATCAAATATCTAGATATGTGTGTATGTATGAGTTTCAACGAATTTTAATTTAATCAAATTCTGTATGCTTGTTTGTGAAATAAAAATCTCAAAATAGGTGTAAGGTTTTTTAAAATTACTCAAAGAAAATTTTTTTTATTGTCTTTTTATCAAAAAAAATTCGTCTTAAGACATGGAATACAATTTTATTATACTTAAGCTATTATTTAACCTTTGAAAAAAGATTTTTGATAAAAAGACGATAAAAAATTTCTTTAGGTAATTTCAAAAATCCTTGTGTCTGTGTTGTGATTTTTGTGTCACAAATTGAAGGGTAGAATGGCAAAAGGGGTCAAGCGCCAATTCACTGTTTTTACAGTAAGTAAAAAAAACATTTTTAAAAATTTTGCAGGTCATTTAAAAAAAACTGAGAAAACCGTTTCGATATATTAGTATGTTTTAATAAATAAACAACAATTTGTTGAAATAAACCTACATATTAACGATAAAATTAAAAAAAACTGTGGTGCCTTGAGGTTATATCAACTGCGCACATTTTCTTTAAGAATTAATTATAAAAAAAATATACAGTTTAAAGAAAAACTGGAAAATTAGTTTCTTTCTATGGAATCGACGAAATGAATAGAAAAACAAATTCCTTTAAAAAATTGTTTGTTTTCAAGAAATTTACGAATTAATTGCTTGCTTTGGAATTGAGCAATACTTTCATCTTTAAATTCAATTGTTCACTTAGTATAATCATAAAAATATTTAAAAATTAATAACAAAATGATTTTAAAATTGTTTAAAATTGAAAATATATTATTATTATTATTAATTTTATTAATTAAAATAAAATTAAAATAAAACCTAAAAAAATAATATTTTTGATCAAAATTGAACAGATGGATAAAAATGTGAAGAATGAAATTCATAAAAACATTTCACCTTCATATCGTTTCTTTTTAACAATATCTTTTTTATTAATAAATTTTTTTCCGCATCTGCGAGGCATTTTCGATTTGTAAGAAGCAATGTTTTTAAATTTGTTAAGTTAGGCATAATATTATTGACTCATCACTTTCTTTTGTTTTTCAATCAGGTTGCAATAAAGTAAATTTGAGGCTATTTTATTAATTTAATTTTTATTAAAAACTGATTTAAATACGCAATAAAAAAGGAAATCCTTCTACAGAAATGTGTAAATGAATTTTCTTGATTTTTTTTATGCAAAAACCTCATTTTCGATAAATTGGCGCTTGACCCCTTTTGTTATTCTACCCTTCAAATAAGGATACCAAATTTGATTAAAATTCAATCAATTGAATTGTATCAAGATCATAAAATGAAGAGTTTTAATAAATTATATTTTTTATTTACTTTAAAATATGAATTTAAAATGTATGAGGTGCTGAAAACTGTGAGTTTTTCGTCGAGTAGAAAGTATTCGAAAAAATATAAAATTTACCATAAAAATGAAAAAAATATTGCAATTTATTAAGATTGACTGAATTTATTATTAAAAATTGAATTAAGTATTTAATGATTAATTTTTTAAAGTAAATAATATTTTATTAAAACTAAAGTCATTTTGTGATCTTCATAACTTCGAGATCATTCCTGCAAAGTATAATTTTAAAAAATTAGTAAAATGCATTCGCCTTTCCCAAAAGGAAAGGTTTCCAGCTCCTCTGGAAACGGCAGCTTGCTTTCACAAGTCGCACAGCTGATCCGTATTTTATTACAGTTTATTTATTTCTCATAAAACTAGTCTATTAAACATATGTACCTATCGTAACTGCAAGATGCTAAAATGTTTCCAAACTTAGGATGTGCCCAAGCTACTTGCCAGACAGGGCCCACGTGTCCTTTTAAATCTGCAGCTAAACTTTGAGAACCATTTTTAAGGTCAAATATTTTAACGGAATTATCACTTGAGCAAGTTGCAAGTCGAAGTCCATAATAATCCATTTCAGCATCGTGGATCATATCTTCATGTCCGGTATCGACAGTATTTAAAATGGACACCATTTTTACAATTCTTTAAGCAACAAACTGTATTATTCAAGGAAATACAGATTTCCAACTGTTTGATTCACTGTTTATTGTAAATAAAAATAAACAATCACATGTAGGTTATGTTCAAACTGACAGCACCTTCAGACGTAATCACATTTTTTTCAGTTTCAGGGATGTGAATGTCAAACTTGATTCCCTGTATCGACTCTTCTATTTGAGAGTCGATCATCGACGACAGTGAAACGTCCAAAATGTACCATAACATTGTGTCGTCTGTTTGTTGTCCCTCCAGGCCTCTGACGTCATATCTTGAACTCGAAATATCTCGATGAACTGACACAGCCACAGCAACTCCCGAAAACACCCAACGAAGCATGAGATAGAAAATGACAGAGCAGAGAGTTCTTTCTGTCCTTTTTTATCTGAAGCTTCACGTTTGTGAACTAGTTTCCGATGTCTATTGCGGTGTACATTTTTAATGATTCTATAGTTTGTTTTGGCGGGAGAAAGAGAGTGCTGTTGACAGTTTGTATCAGTTTGTATTGAAATGCGAATCAAAAGGAAAAATAATTAATTTTTTTTATTGTTTTCGTTAAAGTAGAGAAGGAACAATGGTTACAGAGGAAGTATTAAAAGAGCAATTTCAGATTTTGGGTTGCAAAATAGAAAGTGACGAAGCTTTAAAAAAGTGTGAGTTTTGTGTATTTACTATTTTTTTAGGTTAATCTCCTATCTTTTGTTTAATTTTCTTTTTTTAAATTTTATAAAATAATATTTTTAGTTTAATTAAAATACTATTAAAATCTCAGTTTATGATAATCGATTAAAATTCAAATTTAAGAACAAAAATTCAAATCCAAAAAATTAAATGTGATGTAAAGAAACTTTCATTGTCAAAATCCATTCAAATTCATACCTTACTAAATTTCTGACTTCCAACAAATAGACGCACATTTTTTACAATTATTTTCACACAAATATGTACAAAAGTTTTAAAAATGTATTTAAATAATTGAATTATTTGAGATTAAAAGGTTATAGTTTTAGAAATAATTCCATTTCAGACGATTTTCTAATGAAATTTTTTTTGTAAACTCATACTCCTAAATTTTTTTATACTTTCAGGCCATAATTAAATTTTAGAAAAAAAATTTGTTATCTACTTAGACTTTCGAATAATTTTTATTATAAGATATTTAAAATTAATTAAATTTCAGAAGATTTGTAATTGGAATTTTTTTTAAATTTCAGTTGTTGAAGATTCTTTTTTAATTAATTAAATTTTCCAAGTTAATCAGTTACATTTTTTGTTAATGATTAAATTTTAAAAGATTTTTGTAAAAATATAATTTCGATATTTAGAAATAATCAATAAGTATCTCGAAGAGCTACAATCAAAATTTTTAATAATATATAATGAAATTTTTGAAAAATTTATAATGTAACTTTTTTACAAATAAATCAATTTTGTAAAAATTAAAATTAATGTGTTAAAAACAATAATTTTAATTTGGTAATTATTTAAACAATTGAATTATTGAAGAAGTTGATTGAATTTTTTGAAAATAATAAAATTTTGCAGAGTTTTAGTTAACATTTTTTATAAATATCATAATTGTATGGATTTAATAGTAATAAATCAATATTAAAAAAGTTACAATTAAAAGTTTTGATTTTTTCTATTTTTAAAAGATTTTGAACTAAAAATTTTAAAAATAATTCAATTATTGAGGAATTAATTCAAAATTATGAAATAATTTAGTTTTTAAAATAATAATAATAATAATTTAAATTATATTTTGGAAAATAATTGAATTTTCGAATATATTGGATAAAAAGAATTGTTAGTATTTGAAATTTTCTGTATACAATGTTTGTTTAACATAAAGAAAAATTTGTGGAAACCCTTTAAAAAACAGTAATTAACTTTTAAATAATATTGCTATCGATTAAATATTGAATTTTTATGATTTTTTAAAAATTGCTTTAAAATTTGTTAATATTAATACAGAGTGTCTAACGGTCAAGGAAAAGTCAAGGAATTTCTTTAATTTTCTGGAATTTTTATAAATAAATTAAAGTTACTATTTGTTTCAAATGTTTTTTTACTTTTTTCTCAAAGCAAATGCAAATTAAAAAGTTGGCCTTTACACTCAATTATTAAGCATGTGATGTATCTTATATTCATTAAGTAAATAATTATTTACTACTATTTATTGAGTCTATAATAAATGATTTTTCAAATTTGGAACAATTAATTAATTTTTTTCAGTTAAATATTGGGTTTTTTAATATAAATAAAAATTATTTGATACAATTTTATTTTATTGGTTCAGCTTCAAATAAAGTAAATTATTCATTTATACGAATAATTTATTATTTAATGCTAATACCCAATTTTAACTTATAAAAATTTTTACGTCGTCGAATCTTAAATTATCAAATTTCTATTTAGCAAAATTGTATAAAGTGAATTTTATATTATGCAAAATTTTCAATTTACATTTAACTAAAATTCGATTTAAAAGAATTTCTATTTAGCAGAACTCTTATAAAGCATGTTTTCTAATACTTTTAAAAAAATTTTAATTAATGTAATTTCAAATTGACGAAATTTATGTCTATAGAAAAATTGACAAAATAAAACTAAGTAGAATTTTTCTTAAATGAGAATTCTGTTAAATAAGAATTAGTTAAAATTAAAATTTTCTTTAATAAAAACTTTGTTAATTAAGAATTTTGTTAAATAAAAATTCTGTTAATTGTGGATTTATTCAATGACAATACTGTTAAGTAAACATTTTGATAAATCGAAATTTACTAAAATAACAATTTTGTTAAAAAAAAAATTCTTTATGCAATTTTACTTGACATAAATTCCGTTAAATTGAAATTGTATTAATTTGAAATTCGATTTACTAGAAAATCTGCTTTATATAATTTTACGAAATAAAAATTTGATAATTTAAGATTTGACGCCGTAAAAATTATTTTAAATTAAATGTTGAGAACATTTATACGTCCCCAATTAGTTTATTTATTTCACTTAAAAATTTTATTTTTTATGAAACATTATTTATTTGGTTCATTATGAAATTAGTGGATAATAGACAGGTAAATGACTTAATTGTATTAAAATTAATTTTATTTGATCAAAATAAAAATTTTTTAGTGTAATTCAATAAGTCATGGAAAAGTCAATGAAAAATTAGGGAATTTTTTTCCTAGCAATTGTTAGACACCCTGTAAAAAATTATTAAATAAACTAGCAAAATTAAACGCGCGCAAACGCGCCAAATTCAATTATATCAAAATTATTTTTTAATTAAAATTTTTATAAAATTTAACAATTGTTTATAATTTAAAAAAATATATATCACAATAAAATTGAATTATTTTTTAAAAATTTCAATTCAAAATAAACTAAAATTCAATTATTACCCGAAATTTTAATTCAAAATCAATTAAAATTCAATAATTATCAAAAATTTTCAATTTAAAATTTAATTATTTACCAAGTTTTCAATTTAAAATGAAATAAAATTCAATTATTTTCTAAAATTTCTATTCAAAATTAATTATCCAAATTTTCAATCAAAAATGAACTTCAATTAAATTATTATCCAAAATTTCAATTCAAATTCAATTATTTCCCAAAATTTTCAATTCAAAATGAACTGAAATTCAATTATTTTCCAAATTTAAAATCAAATAAAATTTAATTATTCTCAACAATTTGAATTCAAAATTAATTGAATTTTCAATAATTTGAATTTAAAAGCATCTAAAATTTTATTATTATTATTATTTTGAATCAATATACAACTTTTAAAAAAATTTCGTTGGTAAACGTTGTGTACTTCAGCTTCGTGAATTGAATTTTCGAATTTGGAATTTTAAAGAAACTTATTCCGAAATTTGGAAACACAATTATACAACTTTGGCAAAAATGAGAAAAAGAATTGTCAAAATTTGACGTCATAAGATTACTATTCAAAAAAACACGTGAAATCAGAAAAGGCCAACTTCAAGTTAGGACAGAAGGACAGACCAAGCATTTTATTATTATATAATAATTATAGATTACTGTTTTTAATCACTTTAGAAATTGTTACAACGCATTTCTAATTTGAGGGATTTTTAGTATTTTGTAGGAAATTTACGAAGAAATGTTTTTTTTCTTGAATGACAAATTTCATGAGACTCAAAGCCATAATATACTTCCATGCTAATAATCTTATTAATATGAAGTTTTTTTGTAGGCATTGAATTGTGTTATGAATTCGGAAAAGATGAAGAACAAATTGTGGAAATGTGGGCAGCATTCAGCATTTCAAAGTTTAATAATATTGATCTTACACTTGATGGTATTCAGCAATTGGAAAGAGCCGAACGCATTAAACCCAAAGAAAAGTCTCCTTTGAAGGAGGTCGTCTGCGATTCTCCATTGTCAGCTGATGTGTATCCTTTATTTAGGAAATAAATTTTTTACATGAAAGTGTAAAATTTTAAAAATAGCAAAAATTTTTATGCAAATTTTTAGTATAAATACTCTTTATACATCTATGATTGCACGTTATCTTGACAGAGTGGCGAGCGACCTTGAATAAAAATTTGAAAATTTGAAACTTTCTAAATTTGGAAAAGTCAAGGAATTCAATTTAAAATTAGAGACTTTTCACGTTACTATTTTGAATGTTGTTGAAAACTACGAATTTTTAAAAATCGTTGAATCTACCTAAATATGAGGAGCAAATTTTCGAAAGTTGATAAATCCATTTTTCAAAAGAGTGGAGATAAATGCAGATTTAACACTATAAAAATAATATTATATATGAAATTTGTTCGATTTTTCTTTAATATTTTAAATATGTAGTAAAAAAATATCGTGGCAACAACGGAAGAATCTAATAAATTGAAATTATGTCTAAAAAGTGACGCTTCTCAAAACCTTAAATTTCTCGAAATAAAAAAATATGGATTTATCAATTTTCGAAAACATACTCCTCATATGTTTTGAATTTGCATTTTAAAAATTTTTAATTACAATAAAGAATAAACTATAATTTAGAATAATGATAATGAAAAATATAAAATCATATTGAAATTATGATTTTATATTTTTTATTATTATAATTTTAATTTAGGTCAATATTTGTAAAAAAAAAAAAAAAAAAAAGAAGGACAGGGAATTGCCATCTTGATTGCTCTAACATTCATATTAATTCAATTGAATAAAATTTTTCAATTTTTGACACGAATATTGTATGCAGGCCTCGGATTATACGACTTTTTCGACTTTTTTTCAAAAATACGACTTTTTTCGACTTGTTTTAATAAAATGCGACGTTTTCGACTTTTTTTACATTTTAAAAAAAATTTTAAACAAAATACATTTTTTTTAGTATACAATGCAGATCTTCAGATTTTCATTATTTCAATTATTTAACAAATTTTTAACTAAAATTCTTGTTCTTGTTTTCAAATTATTGTATTTTTGTCTGCAATTTCAAATTAAAAATCACTTAAAGTTCAATTAATTTCAAAAATTAAAATTGAAAATTCAATTATTTCTAAAATTAACTCTTCCCAAAATTATTATTATTTTAAAAAAATGTTATTTAAAAATCTGTAAAACTTTATCAAGTATTGCCTGAAATTTTTTTGACCGTAAAAACTAAAAACTACGACAAAATTTTTAATTCGAATAAATTGCTTAAATCAGACTTCAACAAATTAGGGTCAGTCGGGGTAAATCCGAACGGGGGGTAAATCCGAACGCTAATTATTTCAGCTTAATTAAAATTTTTAAAAATAAGTTCGATATGAGAATTTTTACCTCAGATCCTCTTAAAGAGATTCTAAGTATTATCCCATTTTTTGTTTGTTAATTAGCAACAGCATAAACAAAGATAACAAGTATTGCAAAAAAGATTGAAAATCAAAGACGACACTCTTTCAGTATTTTGTCTCGTATTTGAAGAAAAAGAAGCTAAAAATTCATTTTATTATTTATAATTGTTTGTTATGAATACTAGAACAGAAACTATATTTGATTTTTGCCTTCTGTAAAATTTTATTAATAATATCAGACCGTTCGTATTTACCCAAGAAAATTGGAAAACTGGGGTAAATCCGAACGGTATTTTTAATAATTTTTTTTTACATCAAAGCCACACAAAATTGTTTTTATTTGATTACACTATTATTTTAACATTATAAAAGTACATAGAAAAAAGTTTTTCTTTCTATACGTATCCTCGTTAGTAATTAATAAGCAGAAACTTAATCTCTGTTCTCTCGAAGGAGTGTTTCAATTTTTTTGCCAAATGGTTTGTTGAAAAAAGTTTTTCAGGATCTTAATAAAATTTGGTATTCTACGGTTTTTGGGGTCGCTAATTACCAATTTGAAGTCAGTTTTTCAAAATTCAAAATGGCGGACGAGAATTAAAAAATTCATTGGATTCGCTCGAAAATTGTTACTCGGGGGGTTTCAGGGTCGCTGATTACGAATTTGGAGTTAGCAAATTTGATCATTTTTAAAAATAAGTTTAAGGAAAGTCCGCCATGTTGAATTTAAAAAATTTGACTTTTATTTTTGTATTTACATTCAATCACTCCAAAATACTTTCTGTCCCAAGTTTTGCAAAAATCCGTTATGATTTGATAAAGTTATTGAAGGTTTTAATTGTGTAATGCATTTTAATTTTTAACCTGTTTGATTTTTGTATTTATATATGATGCATTATTACATAATAGGTTTATTATCGTATTTTTTTTGAGTTTTTATATAAGTTTAACAATTGCAATACTTTAAATTTATTTTCCCTAAGATTTTTCTGAAATACAGTGGCGTTCGTATTTACCCCGGTATTTTAGGAAAGTTGCAAAGTATCGAGGTAAATACGAACGCTAAGTTTCCTGCGATTGTAATTTATCAAAAAATTTTGCTACCCCATAAAATTGTTCTATGGAAGTAAAGTAACAACTTCATGCACCAGAATACCGGAAGTATTTTTTTTTAAAGAAAAAACTTATGTTATTGTTGAAACTTACTAAAAGCGTTCGGATTTACCCCGGTTGACCCTATTGATATTTGAGGAATTAAATTTTATAAATTTTATAAGTTATTAGGTCAAATATTTAATAAGATTTATTTCAATTTATTTTTCATAACGACGTATCGGCGGCTGCCGCTACTTTTAACAAGTTATATTAAAATATTACTGAAAATAATAATATAATAATGAACAAACATAATATTTGTGAATAGGGTCAGTTGGGGTAAATGGGGTCAAGAGGTTTTGGAGCTTAATTTACAGTTTTAAAATGAAGTTCAACGTCAATATTTTAACCTCAGATCACCTGCAAGAGGTTTTAAGTATTGTCAAGCTTTTATCTTGACAATTGGCAGCAAGATAAAAAAAGTTATCGCTCAATGCATAAAAACTTGAAAATCAAAGTCAAACTGTTTCAGTATTTTGTCTCGCATTTCAAAGAAAACAGACTTAAAAATCATACCAAATTTTTTCTTATTCCTTATGACTCCTATAACAGAAATTCACTTGAATTTTTGATTTTTATCGATTTGGTTAATAATGACAAGCTGTCCCTATTTACCCTGAGTTTTCAAATTTTTGGGATAAATGGGACAGCTTGTTATTATTAACCAAATTGACAAAAATAAAAAATTCAAGTGAATTTCTGTTATGAAAATCGTAAGGAATAAGAAAAAATTTTTGTAAGATTTTTAAGTCTGTTTTTTTCAAATGCAAGACAAAATACTGAAATAAAACAAAATAAAAAAATTTCAATTCGTTACATCTACTACAAATTTTTTTCATCTCTTAGTACAGTAATATACTTAAAGAAACTTTTTTCTTAAATCTTTCTTAGAAACTATGCTGTCCTCATTTACCCCAAATTTTATGAAATTTTCTAAATCTTGGGGTAAATGGGCTTTTTCTGCTGCATAAAATTAATCCTGGAAATGTAAGTAATAACTTAAAAAAAATAAACCCTCAAATATTACCTTTTAAAGGAAGAAACTTACGTAATTTGTGAAAAATAGGGATTTTGTCTCCATTTACCCCAACGAGCCCCTGAGTATTTTCTAACATCAAAATCAATTAATTTAAATATTGCACTTATGTTTCAGTTTTTGTTTAGTTTTTAATTAATAAAATTTTGAAATTTTTTAGGTTAAAAATGTTATTTATTTTTCTTTACTTTTCATTAAAATTTTTATTTTCTTTTTTGTAATTATAGAAAACTATTGCTATTTTATTTTGTTGATGTTTTTCTCTTTTTTTTACAAAAACTGCAACGTAAGTACAATATTTAAATTAATTGATTTTGATGTTAGGAAATATTTATTCACAAATATTATGTTTATTCATTATCATACTGTTAATTTTTTCAGTAATATTTTAATATAACTTGATAAGGATAGCGGCAGTTGCCGAAACGTCGTTATGAAAAATAAATTGAAATAAATCTTATTAAGAGGAAATATTTGACCTAATAACTTACAAAATTTATAAAATATATGACGTGCTATCTGGGATTATGATCCTCATGATTTTATTCACTCGCCCGACACTTGGACAAACGTTTTAAGGGTAGTAAGGTGGAGGAAAAATTAAAAAGAAATAAATCAAATCGTACGAGTTATAGAGTTGAGAGGCTCACTTAACGATACATATTCTTTTAAAATCCTTACAAAAATCAAAATAGAAATGATGACGAAATTCTACAGCTTTATGGTTACAAGACACCAAGTACACCAACAGTAAGTCGATTTTTTTATAAAAATTTTATATTAACTTTAAGGGGTTAGACCACTTTGAAATTTTAAAAAAATCAGAAAAAATTTTTTTTTTTGCTTAAAGTACACCTTATAGGCATAGAAATGATATGCTATGTGGACCCGGCGTAACTGATTACAGGTAATTTTTAATTTAATCATTGTTAATCACGACCAAATTGTTAAAAAAAACTTTAAACGCGTTTTTCTCAAAACTACATTTGAAAAATCGGTTGGCACTCTAGCTGCCACAAATTTCAATCGATCCTGTTAGTTTTTTTTTCATTTTGTTTGTGATATAATTATCTAGTGAAATAAAAATTAAAGGGATACATTTTTGAAGCACTCCTCCATATCATCTGTCAGACCGACATTTTTGAAAAAAAAACAAATATTTTGTTTGCATTTCAAGAGTAGTATAATACGCTACTGTATTTTAATTTTCTTAAAAAAATTTCTATTCTTCAATAAAAATTGTTGAAAATAGTATATTGTGCATCTAGGGAGGAAAATGATTGATTTCCGCGAGTGTAGTTTGCAGTTCGAGACGTAGCGAGTGCCCGAGCGAAGACGAGAACTGCAAATACTTCTTCTTCTTCTTCTTCTTAAATTACTTGAGGCTTAGCCAACTGTCAGAACAATAAACTTAGAAGACGAAAAAATTCTAGAATACACTATATGCTACACTGTTGGTAATACAGGTTAGACAACAGCAAAGTAAATCCAGCTTGTAGGAAATTTGAGATTGAATCAAATATATCGTTCGCTTGGAAACGGACAAGTCGAGTACGAGGAAAATGACTTTTCCATACGTTGAATCTATTCATGAATCATAATAAACTCCCATGAGAAGAATACATGTGAGAATTGAATTCAAAGCGTATAGGCCATACATTGATATATATAATAATTGATCTCAATAACAATTTCTAACTTTCAATCAGAAACATAACACAATGGAAGGTTAAAGTAAGACTACTGAAGTCGAGCTCCCTCTGGGTAAAACAATGAGACACAAACTCAGATTGAGTGAGAAACATCAATTGTACTTGTAAGGCGGGAAAATGTTCACACCGGGTTTCAAACACCTTAAATATACTTGAACCTTGAACAAGGGGTATACAGTTAAGATATTAAACTGTCGAAGACCACAACACTGCAAGGTGACACCGCAGATATACAAAAGATGTTTACATAGTTCCACAAAGCATTATAAACAGCAGAGATCACAGCACGATAACAGTGAGTCACTTCAAACTCAGATATAACCAGTAAAATTCATGAAAAGTCACACGGAACAGAATAAAATAATAAAATGGGTCCTCAGGGTGACACAAAACATTTGGATATTTCACAAAAAGGTTACGATGGGCGAGGGTAGAAGTCACACTCGCTTATAGAACAAAACTCAGAAAAATCAGGATTAGAACAAACTTCGAAGAACACCTCGGAGAGCACGTGGTAGAACGAACGGCTTAAAAAAGGTTAAAAAGTTGCTTTTAAAAGCAGAACAAATCATATATATTCACAGCACAGAACTTGGCTAAAAATGAACTAAAACTTGTTTGAACAAATCAAAGGTAGAACAAAATCAATGTTAAATGCATGGTGTGCCGGAACAAATTCCGTCCGGTCACTACCGCTGCCAAGTTAGAACTCAACTGCAAATGACAGGGAGGGAAAGTACTTTTCCTCCCTGTCAGTGACGTCAGCGAGAGGGAAAGTAACTTTCCCTCCCGCTCGCCGGGAAAGACATACTTTTCTCCCCCTTTACAGGTAAGAAATGGTGTACTTTCGGTGCGTGTGTTAGAAAAATCTTATTTTTTGGTCGAGTCAAACTGGTGTAACCCCTTAATATTAAACATTGTCGCTATATAATAAACAGATGTTATAATGATGAATGTCGATACCTCCGTTTAAAACTTTTTTTTCTTTCTATTCTAATTATATAGGTTTCATTTTATCTTACTTTGTAAGTAAAAAGTTAAAATTGTGTACATATTTTTAAAAACTAGTTTCATTAGTAAAATTAGTTTTTGTTTATGTAATGTCAGATTGTTCAATATAACTTGATTTTCAAATTAAACATTTAAAAAATGGAAAATCATGTTTTAATAAAAAGATTTATAGTTGACAAAACAAAACATTCAATTAAAATAGTTGAAATGTTGAATATTAATTAAAAAGTTACATAAATTTTGAGTCTGCCCTCCTGTAAAATTTAGAAAATTGCAGTTCAGTTGTTTTAGAGGCGCAACGAAACAGTGATTATAGTTTAGATAACCAATGTGAAACTAGGTTTGTTAAAGGTACAAAGCCAGAGTTTTTTAATGTATAATTATAAACACAGCCAAAATTTAATTTTACGGTTAAAAACCGTGTTTTGGTATATTCAGGTGAAGAATAAAGGGAATAGTTCCGGTTGTGGGCATCCTTCTGTTTATGTCTCATAACTTTTAACCAAATGCATATTATGAGACTTTTGTGTATCAGTGGCAATCTAGAGGCCTTAGATAACTGTAAAAAAACTAAATTGATTCTTTCAATTGGAAAGATTTTATTAAAAATTTAGTGAAGTGATCACTTTTAGTGAAAAAAGTTGTACCCGGTTGTGGGCACCCTAGAAGAATTCGCAAAAAAATGAAAAAAAATGAAGGAAAACCACCATAATTGAAATGAAAATGCTAATTGGTGAATAACACGGGATATTCCAATCACATTCCTGGAATATTCCATTAGAATATTAGGAATATTTTAAAATAATATTCAATTTACATTCCAGGAGCATAAAAATATCCACTTTTTGAAATATTCTTTTAAAATGTTGTAAGAATATTTGTATATTTCATAGGATTACTACAGGAATATTTCTTTGGAATATTGTGGGAATAATCAAATAAAAAATTATGAAAATATTATAATATGAATAATACATCAATATTCTTTAAAAAAAATTACATCATATTTTTCGAACTTACAAGAATATGCCAACATAATATTTCTACAATATTCCAAATGGACATTCCAAAGGTCGGATATTTTTATATTCTTAGAACATCAATGGAATATTCCAAAGGATTATTTCAAATAAAGCAATGGAATATTATGGAAATATTCCATTGGAATATTGTGGGAATATTCGAATGAAAAATTATAAAAATATTATAATATGTGACGCTCCACGAGAGAAGGGACCTAACGTGCTTTTGACTTAAGGTTCATTCACTGTGTCATTGCACGGTAAAAGCGAACCTTAAGTCAAAAGCACGTTAGGTCCCTTCTCTCGTGGAGCGTCACATATGAATAAAACATCAACATTCTTAACAAAATGTAGGTTTTTTATTTGTTGTGTAAATGTTATAAAATAATGATATTAATTATTATAGGGTCAGTTGGGGTAAATGGGGACAAAATCGCTATTTTTCACAAATTACGAAAGTTTCTTCCTTTGAAAGGTAATATTTGCGGGTTTATTTTTTTAAGTTGTTATTTACGTTCCCATGATTAATTTTATGCAGCAGAAAAAATTTAGATAAGCATTAAACGCATGAAACTGACTATGCCCATTTACCCCAAAATTTAGAAAATTTCATAAAATTCGGGGTAAATGGGGACTTGAAAAAAATTTGTAGTAGATATATAATAGTTGACCTAATTGAAATTTTTTTATTTTGTTTTCATTTCAGTATTTTGTCTCGCATTTGATCAATAAAAATCGTTAAAAATCAAAAATTCAAGTGAATTTCTGTTATAGGAGTCATAAGGAATAAGAAAAAAATTTGGTATGATTTTTAAGTCTGTTTTCTTTGAAATGCGAGACAAAACACTGAAACAGTTTGACTTTGATTTTCAAGTTTTTATGCATTGAGCGATAACTTTGAAATTCAACGTCAATATTTTAACCTCGGGGCGGTTCAAATACTACCAATTTAAATTCTACACCGTTAAAACCCTACACGTCAAACTCTACACAGTTAAATTGCACACCGTTAAACCTTATACAATTTATTTTTTAAATTCTACACACTTAATGTGTACAATGTTAAACTCTACACATATTTATTTTGTAGTGAAAAATTAATTTCTTTAAATTCAACACGGTTAAATTCCACAACGTTAAACTCTACATATATTTCTTTTGTAATAAAAAATTAATTTTCTTAAATTTAACACAGTTAAATTCCACATCGTTAAATTCTACACATATTTATTTTGTAATGAAAAATTAATTGCACACCGCCAAACTCTTCATAAATTGATTTTTATGGAGAGTTTAACGGTGAACAATTTAACTGTGTAGAATTTTATGCAATTAATTTTTCATTACAAAATAAATATGTGTAGAATTTAACGATGTGGAATTTAACTGTGTTAAATTTAAGAAAATTAATTTTTTATTACAAAAGAAATATATATGTAGAGTTTAACGTTGTGGTATTTAACCGTGTTGAATTTAAAGAAATTAATTTTTCACTACAAAATAAATTTGTGTAGAGTTTAACATTGTACACATTAAGTGTGTAGAATTTAAAAAATAAATTGTATAAGGTTTAACGGTGTGCAATTTAACTGTGTAGAGTTTGACGTGTAGGGTTTTAACGGTGTAGAATTTAAATTGGTAGTATTTGAACCGCCCCGAGGTTAAAATATTGACGTTGAACTTCATTTTAAAACTGTAAATTAAGCTCCAAAACCTATTGTCCCCATTTACCCCAACTGACCCTAATTATTAATTATTATTATTATTATTATTATTATTATTATTATGTATTAAAATATAATTTTAATTAATGAAATTCAACATAAGAAATCAATAATTCAAAAATGAGTATAATGTTTTTAAATATTAACATTTTTCAATGGGATTTGGCTTATTTTTTTCAGAATATGAAAGTATAATAATCAACTTTTCTAAAAAGTGATTATTTTTAACAAAAATGATATTATAAAGGTTTTCAGGAACGCATATTACGAAGATGATGTCA